ACCAAGATCTTTTCAATTCACATGGAGAAACTGGGAACACAGGAATAGGTGGGATCTGTAGCAGTGGTACCATGGAAATACAGGATACAAAAGGAAGACACCTTGTACTACTTATGAAGCAGCTTCTTCACATAAAGTTATAAAATGAAATCCAGAAAACTATTGCAGAAAAAGCTACCCTAAATAGAACTGTTTTTCATTAAAATCACCTTAAAAGGCAGTATCATTCCCTGATATACATGGTGACTGGCAAGCCTTTATATGTTTCAATAAGCAGTGCAGAAACTTCGTAAACAAATGCAAAAAACTTAACTAGTGAAGAAATTAAGATTATGACACTAGTGAAACTGAAAGCAGAAAAAAAACCATTTTAAAATGAGCATTTATGAATGACAACTGTGTAAGTTTACACTACATGTGAACCATGACTGTGACATTTTAAACAAAACCTGTGGCATTTAAATAAAGAGCAATTACCTTGCCTCAGTTACAAGGCAGATATACAAAACAGACTATTTCTTAATGATACACCAGTCAGTAGAGTATTTTAAAATAGGCACCATGTAGAAACATATCCCTAAGCGGATGAAGTAGTAAATCTCTTTTAATGATTCAGATTATAAATTTACAAAGGCAACAAAATATGAAGAGATTGTAAACTCCTACTAGAGATGAGAATTATGTTAACATTTATTCCSTCACCATCAATTTTTACCAAAACATTTGAAGAGATTCATATTCCCTTCTCTTCTCACTGAGAAAAATGTTTCCATAGCAATTTCTGACTAGAGGTTTGGATAATGATCCATTGCAAGTTACACACCAGACTCTGCTGCAATTTTATAAGGATGAATGAGTTAAATAAACCCTAGGTTGAATTATATTCTTTTAACATTAGTACTCTAAAAGATAGTAATATGGAGACTTTCACTCTTAGATGAAAAAGACAGGAGTCTCAAAAACGTGATACTTTCCATTCAAATTATTGAGAGACTCCTCACTCCCTGCAGGTCAATTTCATGGTAAATATTTAYATCATTTATTCAATAATTATTACTGATGCTGCTATATGTGTAATCTTGACTAAATAGTGAGGATTGCTATTTTAAACCTAGAATAGTCGACAGTAAGACATTTTTGTTGCTGCACAGATTCAGTGAGGTGAGAGGTCCTCTGTCTCGCTGACTGAAATCTTAAAATTAGATATCTATATTCAAATGCACAGAAACATATACAAATGTGTTAAATACATTCCATACAAGTAATTAGATACACAGATTTATAAGGACCTGGACAAATAGTAACAAATTTCTGAAATTAAATAACATACATGACTTAATAAGAGACATAACAGGAAGTGTAAAGGAAACTATCAGTAGAATTAGTAAGTTTTTGTCTAGTAACAGGTACTTCCTGTGTTCACAAACTTACAAACTTTATTTCCAAGTCTTAAAAAATCTTATTGATGATAAATGAATGGGATTTATCCCACTGATATCCCAAGTCTTTTAAAATGTAAGTTAGAACTGATGAACCTATTTCTATGCTCACATCTGAACTTCAATCTCCATTTGCATAGAAATCAGGCAATTACTRTTCTAAGACCTTGAATTATTTCTACAAAAGTGCTCGGGGAAATAAAGCATAATGCATATACATTATCCAGGGTCATCATATAATTCTGACTCAATAAAATATTCTATTRAAAAGCTGGCATTTCAGCTGAACTACATGCACACTTTAATATACCTGCCTGTTCCAAATCTAACAATACAGCAAAATTCAATTGTTAGGTCCACAATTTGAAAACAAATAGCAATGCAATATGTTCATAGGCTGTCCTTCATGTTTACATCTTAGTAGACTATTTAACAGTTTTATAAATAAGTATGGTACAATTTTTTTTTTGTTATTTGATACAGAATTTTTTTTAACCTGACATCTATCTCTAATAAAYAATAATAATTAAACTGGAATGGGTCATAAGGATCACAGCTGTGAAAAAATTAATACATTTTAAAATCCTCTTTTGTGATTCAGTCATAAGATGGAGAACAAACTTGGGAGAGAATTCACTTTGATCTGCTTGGTAATTCAAAACCACACCCAAATTGCATTCTCTGAAACAGCTTCAGAAGAAAATTGAGACATTCCATATGGGTGCTAATTGACATGACAAGAGGTGTGGTCATAGAAGATCACAGTGCTGAAGGGAATCAAAGGGCATGAGAGTTAACAGTTTAATTTTGTGGATAAGAAAAGCACACCCTCAAAAAGACTGTAAGAGAGAAAATTTTAAAAGTGAATGTTAGTAGCTCTATTTCAGACTTGTCACAGCTCTTAGGAAAAGCATTCCCAAGGTAACATATTAGAGCACTGTTAAAAATCTGACCAGAAAGTTAGTGACCTTAATTAGTGGAGACTCATGTTGAGTTTGGATAATAATAAAATAAAAAATAAATTTCCTTCTCAAATGAAACACTGTCAGTAGGTAGGAAAGTCCAGCATAGGCTGTTTTTGAGTCCATTGGTGTTTGGGATGGAGAATAATGTGCTTCCATGGAGAACCAACTGTGCAGGATAGTAAAAGTTGTCTGTGAAGAATCGGCAGTTCTTTAAAACTTTAGATTCCTAGGAAACACAAAACTGTTTCATAAGAATTCTTTCATGAACATCAAACATTTTTAAAGTATACTGGCACTCCCACTTTTAGCTTTAATTTTGGCAATTTGTTAAACATATCTTGATAATACTTCCTTTTGACATTTATCAACCTTGTGAGAAACCTGTTTAAATGTTAATTCCTTCTAATATAATCACCCTTCCATTGTTACTCTTCGTTTCCTTGCATTTCTAAGTAAAAATCTGCTTCATTTACCCTCCATGATGCTCTAGAAAAGACTAATATCTGATTTTCAGAACAGCTTTAAGAAATTTGCTGTTCTCTACTACTTGTGTTCTACTACAAGGAGATCGGTAGGCTTACTCTATTTAGACTTGCCCAATTGCCTGTGCTCCATGTGCTTGTTTATGTGGATTTCCACTGTGAATGCTGAGAGATCTGCTAGGGTGGGTAAGAATAAAAAAAAGAAAATTAGATGTTCAGCAGCAAATCTAGATCTGTTTGGAKGTTCTCCAAGGTAGGGGTTGTTTGTTTCTTTTTGATATCTCCTTTAGAGATGCAGTTCAATGGTTTCACTGCCATTATGGTGGGTGCTTTAGTGTTTTTCTCTCTTTTTGTTCAGTGAGAGACTAACTACTGAGATRTGTACTTTCTGTTGAGCATTCTATTGAATAAGAGGAGACAGAAGACTATGAAAAATTTTCCYGATGTTTTAGGAAAGAAAAGAGTCTATAATGAAGATAAGTGGTTGCCTTAGGAAATCTAGGGTGTGATTTATGCTGTCTTTAAAAAGTGCAAGAGAATGGAAGTATTTTAAAGATGACTTGCACAGCTTGTGCTTTTCATCCYGCTTCAGCTATGCAAAGAATGTATCTTAACACTCACCAAACAGAAGAGAAATGCATTGCTTTTGGGACCTTATTTTAAACAATAGTTCTTTCCCATTGTCTCAGAAAACAAGCAACAGCATTGTTTTACTGTCTTATGACTATTAAGCCAAGAAATTTCCTTTTTTGCATAGCCATAAAAGTCATGTTGGGTCAATTTAGTGAATRTAATACTATTGAAATGGAAATATTGTAGAATGATAAAGATTTCAGTTGTTTTCTTGCTAATTATTACAAATTTGCAAAGAAAATAAAGTTCTCTCTTAAATGTCCAAAGAATATTACAGTTTGTAATACAGTTTATAACAAACAAAATTCTTTAAATATCTTAATGATGAATGATCTGAAACAAAAAAAAAACCTTATAAGTGGAGCTATCAGTCAAACTGGTATCTGTGTTTCACTTCTAYAGCATGATTTCGAACATACAGCTTTTTAGTTTCATGTGGCATTACATATGCAATACTATCTGCAGAATTAGTCTCTACAGAAGATTTTGAAATGCTTACACACACTCCTACACTAGAGAAAAGATGATATGCATCTCTCTAAGGGAAAGTTGTAAACATCTTTTTGCTGAAAATGGTTTTATATGCAAAAGGAAATTGGAATTGCTCTATAAATATGCATGAAAAGCATTTCTGAATAAAGAATTAAACTCAACTTCATTGTGCCTTTGTGGCCTTATTACACTGGAAGAGTTAGATCTTAAATTGTAAGCACTTGTATAAATATTGTATTTCACAATCTTAGTGGCAATAATACTAAAATTKTAATTATAATATGAAACATTAGTAGTAATGAAACACTCTGCAAATACATGTGTAACTACTTCCATCTCAGTTTAAARCTGCCTTACTTAAATTACTTTGTAACATTTATACAGTCTTAAGAAGTTTCGCAAGCCTTTTTAGGCATCCTAAGCCTAAAGTTCCCATAATTAGAGGGTAGACACACAATAAATGAACATTCAAAGGAAAAAAAAATATATCTGAGTTGATGCTTGCAAATTACCCAAACAAGAGGTACACATTGACTTGAAGAATACAATGGTTAATAGTTTTAATATATCCTATGTAACAGTTTCATGAAACTACTGGTCTTTTTAAAATTGTGTTTTATGTAAAATAAKGTAGCCTGAATATTCACTGATTTCTCAATTAGTAAACAAGACTTGCATCTTTAAGCAAAGCAAGCATAATACATATTGTATTAAAAGACTATTACAGACACACCTCCTAGAGGAATACTAAACACGTGGTCTGAATGATAAAAAGCCCACAGCAAAGCCATTAAAAGGTTTCAACGGGCCTAGTATTTCACATTTTCAATATTCTCCACTGCGACTTTACTTTCCTATGAGCATGAACTTTAGCTGTAGGGCAATATTTAACAATATAGATGACTAATGGTTAGCAGCTCCCAGTTACTCTAGATTTTAAGTAGGTAACCAACAGTCCTTCAGGAGTCAAAATGAACAAAATTTCTTACCTTTAGGTGCCAGCTGTAGAAACTGGTTATGAAGTGTATTAAGTTGTGAAATAGTTAGAATATTACTTCCAGAGGTTTCTAGGCGTTGAAATTCTGGTGGAGGAACAGGGGGAGGAGGAGGATCAGGAAACACTTTTATATCACCATTGATGAAGAAATCTGTGTCTTCTAAAATAATTTCATATTGGATTTTGCTAGAACTCTCAACATGATGCCGTGCAACCTCTATCAGTTTTTCAACACTGAAAGTGTAAAAGCAGAAAACCATGAGTGCTTATGACACATGTAGCTTTAAATTTTAACGTGCTTACGCTTTTAAAGCTTTCCTAAAGTAAGAATTAYAAACCCTCAGTGCAAATTCTGTAATTACCAAAACCATTAAGTCTACTCCTCCTCTGGCTGCTAGGAATCTTTTGACTGTGGTCAGAAATTTCTATAAAGTCAGATCTAAGACATAGAAGAAACTTGAGGGAAAACATGAAAGTACTTTCTAGGCTAGCACAATGGAGAGACATAAGAACTCCTGTTTCAAGTTAATGAGTACAATTTATACAGCTAAAGAAAAAAGCTGTCTGGAATATTCAACTAGACATAGGTTTGGCTTGGAGTGTCAACTCAAAAGATACAATATTCTGTAAATACTGTGTCTTTGTTAGCACTTGTCAGGGGAGCAAATAAACCTGGTTGGAAGGAAGTGGATTTGCCTTGAGCTACTGTCTGTTAAACCCTTCACTTCCAACATTAAAATCTCTTTTCTTGGTCATGTCCTGACATGGATCAAGTAACACTGTCCTAGGTAGAATTCAAAAGTTAGCATAGGCCAGAAACACTTTGCAAAGGGCAAAGTGACCCCTTTCCTTTAGAGAAGAAAAGCCCTTTAGTGACATGGACATTAGCCATTCTGTGCCATACCTAATGCTAYAGTGATCCCAAGTACATTTTACTTACTAGGACAGAAAAATTGTAGGGGAGAACTTTTTTTTAGTGGTCCTTGAAAAAATTATGAGAAATATAATACATGGTGATAAGAACAATAGGTAGAATTTTCCAGTGCATATGAAAAACAGGAAAGAAAATAATTCCACATTCTTAAGTGACATAAGCTAGTGAAATGATACAGAGCCTTCTACCAAATGGAATAACTGATTGTCTGCTCATGAATCTGCTAAACSTGTAGTCTAGAAATATAGTAGAATTGATAATTACCGCTACCACCAAAACCTTTTAATCAGCTAAGAAATGAGTTATTAGCAATCAGGTTTTTAAGATAAAATTAAACAAAATTATTATTTTCTACATTTGTTTCCCAAATTACTTCTGTCTACATAAACAACTATATTTACTACAATAGTCTAGGTTTAAAAAAGAAAAATCCTATTTAAAATTGATATACATTACCTGGCTACTTCTGCCAAGAAGATGGATCCAAGCCACTTTTCCATATCTTTATAAGCCTCTTCTGCTTTAAATTTTAGATCCTCAACAAATGCTAAAGCCTTTTCTTTTATAAGTTCTAGTCGAGATGTTGTGGCTGCCTCTGTTTAAACGACAATGTCATAATGAATAAAATTTATAAAACTTGAGGCTAGTTCTCGATCTAAGCACCTCAAGTTCAGCATATTTAACTGTTTTTAGTTAAAAGTAGCTTAGAGGATACTTTGTGCCTGGCCAGGCACCTTTCTGTAGTAGAGTTAAGGCTCCTTTAAACGTGGCTTCTCTGCATGTTCTTTGAGCAGCTGCTATCAGTATGTTATAGAGGTAAATGTATGAGAACGTTTGTCTCCCTGCATTTTCAGAAGTAGTACTGCACTGATAGAGCTGCTTGCTTAAGACTAACAAAATAAAAGGCAAGGTACATTGATGCAACAGAGAAACTGGACATGAAATCAGYGTTAAAAACTTAGCAATGATACACAGCTAGTGACATTGCTAGACTCAATGTATCTTTATAATCAAAACCGCAAGTTACCAAAAGGTAACTGGATAACAAAGCTGCAAGCGAAACTGATTCTCAAACACMAGCTATGTGTCTGTGCAAATAGGAAATACAGCTCCATATGTTCAGCCTTCCTTAGGTTCTTGGCTTTTTTTCTTACAAGGTGAAAATTAAGCATGGTCGAGAAAAAAAACCCACGTTAATGAATCACTAAAATTCATCTTCATGCCATTAGGATCTTCAAAGTTATTACTATTCTTCTCATTACCCCAAAATCTTAGAATATTTATTCTTAAAATGCTTTTGTATTAAACCATGCTGAAAGGTGTAGGTTCATTTTGTCTGATTGGATCTAAAGAAGTCWTATGAGTTTGTGGTTTGGTCAATAACTGCTTTTTGCCCTCTGTCTTTCATAGTACTTATTATATTATTATATAATTATACAATTGTAGCCCAGCAAAGAGGTAACATAAGATGATGGGCTTGCCAGCTGTTGCCAAATAGAATCTATAAAAGCTGGGTTCTATTTTTCCTTTAGTGACAAAACAGTCTTTTTTCTAGTCTAAACCTATTAAAAAATTTCAAACCATTTTCAATTTGGGACTTCCTTTTTTTCAGACATCTACTTTTGGCTGAAATGAACCATTTGGTTTGGAAGTTACTGGGTAAGACAGACAAAGAGATGGACTGAACAATGAGCAGGTTTTGGAAGAGTCAGTCCAGAAAGTAGTTTTGAAGAATAAACAAAATCTAGATCCTGCTACTTGAATCCCATGTCGCTTGAAGAAGAGGGAATAAGAGAAAACAATGAAATACACAACTGCCAACAAATTCTTCCCCAGAACAAAACATTTCAAATACTGAATCCAATTCAATTGAATATTGAAGTGTGAATAACAACTTACATGAAACCCATTCTCTCAGGATGAATATTTGTTTAGTCATGACAAATTAAATTAGATGAAATGAAACAGAAGACAAAAAGAATGAAAATCACATTTYTACGTTAAGTATATTTACTACAGAATTACTGATGATTACCAAACTAAAAAAGTTTCCTGATTTTGCCAGACACAACTCTCTCTCCTTTTCTTTTGTCTTATCCATCCATTTTCTCTAGTGTTTCTGGTTAATATTGACTAGTACACTAATTAAATTAGGAATAACAATCATCCACCAATGTGAGTAACCAAACAGCAACATACCCTCATGTTTCAAGGCACTGAAATATTCTTGCTTTATTTTAAGTGCCACTTCTCGTTTTCTCACTTCCTCTGGGTCTTCAGGAACTACACTGGCTTTTCCTCCTGCAAGAAAAGAGACCTCTCAGTCTTTGACTTCACTGGTAAATCTCCATATCAAGAAAAATTACACTTTACCTTACTTGAYGTGACCATTTATGAGAGCAAAAAGGTGGGTACTCAGCTGACAAATGTGATTTAAATCTCCAAGTCATGCTAAGGTTAACATTGCATAAAAATATTCCAGCATATATAACTGAATTAAAGTTTGTTAAAYAACATCCTAAAATGTATTTCTGAATGGAACATCATGACTAAGTGTGCCTCTGTTTTGATTGTAGATGGTTAGAATGTCCTGTTTGACTTTAATATCTACAGTTTATCACAAATAAATGTATTTTGAAAAATACATGTTTCTTCTGGAATAAATTCAACAAATATAGTAAAAATGTTATGGTAGTAGTTACCATCAAAGCAGTGATAAGAACTACGCTATTAAAAAAGAATTTGAAAACAAAAAAGAGATCTCTTATTTCATGCCTCTTCAAACTTGCATTTCCAGTTTGTTTTAACTTACTTATTTATGAACAGATATTGTAAAGGGATTTTATCATGTTTTTGGAGATTGCGTGAAATTCTGTAGCCACACCACTTTGACTATTACTTAAAAATAAGAAAATACTTGTAATTGTTTTATACTAGAAGAAATGCAGATGGAGACATCACAAAAAAAATGATGACATGTGCATGATACAAAATGTCAACATAAAACAAATGGTCAATTCTAGAAGTGATAAAACTACATGTTGTAAGTTATATTACCCTGTTACTAGCCCATAGCCCTATCCTAAGGAGTTCTGTGTTACAGCARCATTACAGTAATACTGTATTTTACATGAAATCAAAGTAATTTTACAAAATTTGTAACTGAAGTTACAAATCCATCAGTTTATACTTCATTTTCTACTGGAAAGAATGCACTGCTGAATTCTGGTTGCAGTTCGGGTTTTGTGTTTTCAGTTAAGTAATCTTGTACCAGGTCTGAACAAACATTGACTTCCAAGAAGCAATCCAGAAACTCCAACCTAGCCACTTGACATACAACTGCCAAGCTGATGAAATTTTTAGCATAGAACTTTTCTTGAAGTCTGAAAGTCGCTATTCTTGTGGCTGAATTGAGATGCTAAACTAAGTCTAAGGTTCCCTGGGGCTCACAACTGGCTAAGTATTTGCAAGGCTATGCTTTTGTTCAATCTATATGGGCAGAAATAACCAGAGAGAGAGAACTGAGCAAACAGCGCAAATAAAATGTCTGKCAAAGAAAAAAAGCCAACTGTGTTATGCAATTACAGCTTTCTCATTTGGAAATGGAGTGCCCCAATTCCAGGCTAGAACCTCTCTCTTGCTATGCGGAATGTCTTTAAAAAAAGATACAAAGGTTTAGGCTGCACTCCTCACTTCCTAATGAAGTTATGGCATATTGCAGAAAAAAGGTGAACACCATATAAACTACTACCTGCACAAGGAAATTGTGGAAAAATGTATAAACATTGTGGTCTTGTATATCATAATCTCTTCCAGCACACTRTCTGCTTCTCTCTTGCAAATAATCTTGTATTTTCACCTGGTGGGACAGGTTCTTACGAGGCCTATGTGCAAGACCTACYTCAATAGGAGTCTTAGCACTTACAGCTGTCAAATAGGCAGAATTTAATAAAATGTTATTTAATTTGATAATCTAATTCTAATTGTTCCATTCCAATAGAGAACATGAAGAAAAAATAATGTTTACTTGCCATTTAGAATGTTTATTCCTACATATAATGACTATACACGTTTAAATAAATGCAATTGACATTCAAAAGCCTTTCCCCTCCTTTATCACTACCAACTTTTCACACTGATGTCACATTTGACATTTTAAAAAAAGAATATAATCCAAATTAAATGTCTTGGGTTACTCATTTCTGTATTGCTCATGTATTTATATTTCAGTAATTTCAAGCACTGCTAAAACAAAGCCTGCATTTTAAGTACCTTTTTTTTTGTTAGATGCTTTGGAAGAATCCTTTTTGGCACCTTTTTTATCTTTCCCAGTCGCTTTGCCTGGTTGTTTCTTTGCAGCTTTYGAATTTATCTCTTGTAGCTGACGTTCTTGTTCTTCCTCCATTTCTCTAGCCTCTAATTCAGCAGTTACCTTGACACCACAGTCACACATAGTACAGTACATAGCATCAGCTCTGTGCAACTACTGTTTTAAATAGCCTATACTTGCTGAAAGTACTTGATGATAAGTAGACACATAAAAAAAACCCCAAAATAGATATTTTAACTAATTGATTAAACTATGATTATTTATCAAAAATAAAATTCTGCAGCAAAAATGCAGGTTAGAGACGTRTTGGGTTTAATTCTTGCAGCAATTACCTGTGCTTGAGATAAATGTTAGAAATTAAAGAATCAACAATATAAAAAGCAAGCCTAGCTTGATACGATAAGGATACAGAAATTAATTAGTTTTAAATGATCAAAGAGAAAACAAAAATCGAACCTAGAAATCAACCATTTAAAAAGCTCACCTAATTTACTTTTAGCTACATAGAAAAAAAAATGTAACCATAGGTTCTGAACTTTTGGAAGGTTTGAGCAAACACTGCATCACAGGATTAAATTTGTACATCTACCTGAACTTCAATTGAGGGATAAGAGAAGAGTTGATAATGGAAGAACAAGATATATAGAAGCAAAATTTCAAATACTTCTCTCAGTAACAGAATGAAAGGCTCAGTTAGAAATATGGAGGGCCTGATACTCCAGATTCCAACATTCTCCTCACAGAACTACATATTCAATGGAAATATCAGCAATGGAGCAAGACACATGAAATTGACATACACAGTGCAAAGATGATGTGTCTAGGCTGCCTACTGAATGGGGGATTTTGTACAATCCAGAAATGCTTAGGCAAATACAACATGCCTTACCATATCTGATACTGCTGTTACTGCTGCTTGCCATGTATCAATAATAAGATTTTCATCAGACCTATAAGTGACCACTTCATATTCAGAATGCTTATCCTTAGCACTCCCCCGCACATTTCCACTGTATTCTGACTCAGCATTACTTGGTGAAGGTGGTTTCCAAGAAACTAGAGGAATCCTCAAAAATAAAACATAAGGAATCATTTACATGCCTCTTTATAAAAATGTTAATAACTACATTGGAAATATGCTGACAKAATGAAAATGCAATTTTCAAAACTTGCAATAGCAAGAGAAAAGGGAGGAACTGTCCCTTTTCTGTCCCCACCAGATTAGGTGTGTGTCTGACAATAAAACTGTCCACTTTCAGAGTAACAGCTCAGAAATAGTAACAGMGAGACAAAACTATGTCAAAATGACTGTGTGATCTGCTGAGGAGCTCCACATATAAGCAGTTAGAAGCAGTTTCACTACTCAGACAATTTCTAAATGCWTTGTAACTAATGCATTTTGGTTAAAAAAGCAGGTGTTATTACTGATGASATTTTCTATAGTGTGAAAATACCAGGTGGTATCCCTTATCTTTTAACATAGCATTCAGTTCTGTGCATCTTTGTAGGGTGCTTTCATTTACATTTGTTATTACGYAACAATTAATTATATTTACGTTTATGTAACATTTATAACATGCAATTAAATTTATTGGCACAAATTTGAATCCTGCTAATGTTCCACWATAATACTTCAACTTAATTACATGAGGACTGTGCTGGAAACTATCAACAACCATGCAGGAAACATTTCTGTAATAGCAGATTTCCTTCTAATGCAGCTTTTAAAATGTTTTGTAATTCAGAGATGGATTAGTGAATATGATACAGGTAAATCAGTAAAACATTAGGGATAAATGTAATCTCTAAAATTATTTAAGATTTATCTGTGACTGTAATCCCTGGTTAAAGAATTTTTATTTCTCCATCCTTTGAAATATACACATACATATAATTCCATATACACCAAAAAATTACCAATGTATTRTATTTTTCATATTTGCATAATTTTATAATGCATTTCTACCTTCTTGATTCATCTTCATCTTCCTTCTGCTCTCCATTAATAATATCTAAYAATGGGAKTCTAGTAAAAACTAGGTTCTCTTCTTCTGTTGTGATTTTTCCTTCCATTGTCCTATAATAGTCCTGAAGAAGTTTCTTTGTATCTTGGAAACGATCCACTTCAGCCTCAAGAAAAAAGGACAAAGACATTGCAACTCAAAATAGGACAAAACAAATTTTTGTTATCACACATTTGTAGCAGCAATTTTAAATCCTAAGAGTTTGAGGGACAGCAAGAAATTTTAAAATGTTTTAAAATATACACTATAGTCAAAATCTACTTCTGCTTGCATCTACAATGTATTCATATTGTCATTTCTAAGCAGCAATAAGAATCTTAATCATTAAAACAGGAAAAATTATTTACGATAAATAATGTTCAATGCATTAAATTTAATTACAATATATTTTGATGTATATATATTCATATAGTAGCAAGTATATTAGTGACAACAAATAAAAATGGATCTTCTTRTTCAAAAGAAATAATAATTTAAAAGCATAAAATAAATAGGGTATATGGCAAGAAAATTTTAGAAGTCATACAATTTTTCCTGACCTAGGAAATCAACAGACTTTATACACCAGGGTSTCTTGAAGATCTTCTTGTGTGAATCCTTGCAGAACAAATCAAGTAAGATTCAAGAAACATTTAACACCTGTCATATTTGATTTATTGATACAGCTTGGTGTTAGTTTCTAACTGACAAAACAGTCCTAAATAWTCATGGGAAAATGCACAAAACCACATTCACAAAACAAAGGATAAAACCTTTGTGGTGTAAACCAGCACATCCATAAGTTAAGGAGAAAATATCTTCTAGTATAACTGTGTACACAGAAACATGGAATGAAATCTGATAAACGGTCTTTATACAAATCTAGGTGTTTAGACAGTTATAGAGCCACCTGGGGAATTTATGTAACTTTCAACAGAAAAACCCACAAATGGAGAACTCAATACCAAAGATGCCTATTTTTGGCTGCTTCCAAAAAGAATAGTCATTATGCAAAGYTATAGTTATTATATTTTTAGTTCTGTAGTTTTAGGATTAATAATTCATTTATTTTGGGGAATAGGAACTAAGTAAAGAAATTATTAATATTTTTAATTAATTTCCTTTATGAAAACAGATGCTTATATATGATTATATGCTTTTGTAATTTTAAACCATTATCATGCATATCCACACAAGACAAATCAGATTAGATTTACAGTGGATATCCTTTGAATTCAATCATATACGCCCATGAAGTTGTCTTAGAACTAGGATTGCAAAGATTTAACTGAATATAAAAGGAGAATAATACAATATTTAAGCTYTGTAATATAACTTTAATTTGTCTCCTTTATGCATATAATACCAGATGGTTTTTTTTAAATATTCAGGACTATAAACACCCTATTTACAGGATCAGTGTGGTTCAGATAGTCAGCAGTTATTTGATATTTTGACCTCTCTCTTTAGTCAGTGGCCAGAAGTCTTTATTAAGGGCATTATTTAGAGTTWGAAAAGGAAGTTAACAACTTCCTTACTATAGCACTGACATTTTAAAGATTTTTCTTGAATTACCACAACATTTATATGAGATAAGAAAACAGTTCCCTTGTTTATTAAACATATAAAAATAACAAGAGAATTCAAAGACAGGAAGCCCACCCTGAACTGCTTAGGCCTGGCTTTTTCAGCTAAACCAGCACCACAAGGCATGTATTTAAAACACTGTTTTCATTGCCTTTTTTTAATTTGCCAAAATTTTCACAGAATGGTTACTTCAGTTTACAGAAAAGCCTGTTTAGTCTAGTCTACTCCAGCCCAGTTCTAAACCAAATGTATGCACCTGGAAGAGCAGTAACAGGGAAATCTTACTTTGCTGCAGGACTGAATGGACTCTTGAAAATGTTAAAGTTAAATATCTGAAAGTTGGGTCATATTTGAACAGGTTTTTTTCAAGAGCAAYAAATGACATTCTCAAAAACAACTTGCTTTTTGGGGTGTTATTTTGTTGGTCTGTAGGTAAAATTTCAAGCCATATTGCTGAAGTTRCAACTGAAATAAATTTGATATATAGAAAATACMATAATATCAAGTGTGTMTTCAACAGTAGTGGATGATACAATWCATAAATTAAAAGATRTCAACATGACTACAGAAGGATAAACAACAGTAACATTTCTGTCACAAAACTCAAGATAATTCATTAGTGTGATAAAATGGCAAAAAGTAGCAGTATGTAAGAGACATTGAAATTTTGGAGGGTTGAAAAACAACAAGAGTATTTTTCTTTAACTTTCCTGTCTGTCAAAGTTAAATGTATGGAACATTTACTTTTTGTCCTTTACCTTTCTAGAAAAATTCAGAAAAGACATGAACATTCACTTAACTGATTTTTATTCCTTCACATATTTGGAGCCAAMCATATGAAATTTCTCTGAAGCTTACTGTCCTCCAAATCTAATTCATTGTTCCCTTCCAATACAGACCCTGTACCAGTCCATACCTGCATAAGTGTAAAGAAATGGTTCATTACAAGCCCCCTACGATCTGGTAACCACTCTTCATTCATGATACCAGTACGCTCCTGTTCAGCTTCTTCCCTTCTGCTGTTACAGATATCCCAGAGAAGATCTCTAAGGTCCTAACGAAAAAAAATCAAATATGATAATTAAAGATAAAAAAAAAAAAAATTTTTGCTTATGTATTGTTTTTGGGGCTTTTTCTTTATTGCTACAAATACGAACACCTGGTCATGCCACATGCTCACAGAAKTCTGACAGAAAATTTCTTTACAATTGTGCCAGAGAGAAGAATACAAAGTTCTGAGTTCAATGTGCAGGCTGCCTTGATTYCCTCAGGCAGAGGTGATCTACCTAAACTAGAAAAATATGAGCCTATAAATAGCTAAGCTCTCAACTGCACCAGCAACTTTCCACTTCAATAGTTTGCTAATTAATACAAAAAGAATAGTACTCTAAGGGAAWGTGCAATATGAAAAATACAGAGAAAATTGTGTCAGATATATTTTTCAAGTGTTTTTCGAAATTGGTTAGCCTCCATGCCACTTTTCTCTGACATTCTTTTAATTAAGGGCTCTTCAGCTACTGAGTATATCAAACAGCAGCACTATGTGGCCCACTGACAGCCCTGGGGACCTACCAAGCATACAGCATTATGGATACCYTTTGTTCCCTAATGCCATCTCTGCCTGGAAAGAGTGTGTCAGGCCATGGGAGRAGRACAGTGYTGTGAAATAAAGTGCTGAGGTMKGGCAAGATGAGCTTTCTCTTTGGCTCCAAGCAGTCCTACCCTACCTGACCTGTTCTGGGACAGAAGAAAAGCTGTTCCRGACTACTAGCCCTGCTGTGAGGAGTTTAGGCTTCCAGTGAGGTGATCCCATATTCACTAGGTCTTGGTTGCACCCTAYCATGTCAGATTCTCTTTCTCTTCCCTGTCTAAAGACTTCACATAAATCCACTTGTCCCTGGTTGGACAAAAGCCACAGGGAAGTCCCTGGGCTATCTAACACATCCRTGATGGCTAGAAGGTAGCTAAGGTGCAAATACTCAACCAGATATTCATGGCGGTCCACACTGTAGAATACACATGTAAGGATAYGCTGCTGGATGAAAAACACACAAGCATAGCTCATCTATTGGCACTGGTGGGTTGACCTTGGCTGGCTGTCAGCTGTCCACCAAACTGCTCTATCACTCTCCTCACAGGAAAGGGGGAGAAAATATGATGGAAAAGCTCATGCATCAAGCTAATGATGAGGAGAATACAGCCATATATTACCATCACACACAAAATATACTTGATTTTGGGAAATTAATTTCATTTAATGCAAATCAATAACAGAGCAGAATATTGAGAAATAAAACAAAACTAAAACAACCTTTCCCTCACCCATTCTTCTTCCCAAGCTTAACTTCATTCCTGACTCTTCTACCTCCTACCTCCTAAATGGCACAGGAAAAATGGGGAATGGGTGATTACAATGAGTTCATCACATATTTTATCTGCCACTCCTTTCCCCTCACACCCTTTCCCTGCTCCAGAGTGAGGTTCCTCCCATGGAACACAGTCTTTCATGAATTTTTCCAATGCAGGTCCTTCCCATTGGCTGCAGTTCTTTGACAGTGYGGATCCTTTTTATGTGTGCAGCCCATCATGACTATACTGCTCCAGTGTGCACACTCCATRGGCCACAGCTCCTGCCAGGAATCTRCTCTGKTTRGGCTCTCCACAGGCTGATGTTCCTTCAGAGCATACTGCAGGGTGGAGATCTGCTTCCCTGTGGTCCTCCATGGGCTTCTGCAGAACAATCCCCATGGTCTTCTCCACAGGCTCCTGGGGAATCTCTGCTCTGTTGCCTAGAMCACCTCATCTTCCCCCTTTTTCACCATCACCTTTCACCACAGAGYTGCTTCTCACATATTCTCACTCCTCTCTCACAGCTGCCTTGGATTCCTTACAGAAGCAACCTCAGCAGACCCTTTGCTACAAAAAACTTTCACCCAATACCTGCTTAAGTGCAGGCTGGGGCTGAACCACAACATCAGGCTGAAGTCTTGGATGCCCTTTGGGCTTTGGACCTTTAAGGAATTTTTCATACATCACATAATGTGTGGGTTTTTACATTTCCCAGTTGATATCAGAGAAATTTGTTTTTCAGTTATTACAGCTGTCACTTTCCARTGTTTTAGAAAGGGCCCAGCTGAAATGACAGTGTTGAGCAGTCTGTGAGGTTGAGGAAAAACATGTTGAAGATTATCACTCTTTTAATTTCCTCTTTTTTTCTAGCATCATGGAAGGATGGTTGACAGAATTCCTACATTTGGTGACATACAATGGGCATGGCATTAAAAGCATAGAGGAAGATCACCTTCAGAATCACTCACAGGTTTGGGATTCACAAGGAATAGAAAGGGTTATTAAAACAAAAATTATGAAAATCATACTTTTATTCCAATCTGCTTAAGCTTATCACAGTATCTAAGCCTTACGGCATCATATGGGAGTATAACCTCCTCTTCACATAATTGCAATTGGATAATGTCAAATATGGATTTCTGTTTTGAGCAAAAGGCCAAATAGTTTAATGGCATCTGTCTAAAATATACAACAGAGTGATTCTAAGTCCTTTTATAATTCCATTTAGTAGAAAGTAAGAATATGGATCATGATTTTTCAACCCTCAACACCATTCTCTTAGAATATTACTATGGAAAAGAGGTCCAGCACTTCTTCCATCTCAGCTGAAATAATCCATTATCCCTCAAATGATCCCTTCATCTAGCAATGTTGTCAGTATTAGTTTTCTCCTTTTTGGGAAATATTCCTGATATGATTCGATAAAAAATATTGTCTGTTCTGAAATGGAATCTGATGAATCCAAAGATAATTCTACTGTTGGCTTAAGCTAAATCTGGCTCTGAACTTGTTAGGGCCTTTATTATTGTGGATTTTTGTGAAAAAGAACTCTCAGAATCTGGATGAGCTAGAAAAGATCTACCTGAATCAAAACATTCCAAAGAAATTCTCTGTATTTTGTAAGAACCAGTTTTAGAAAACATATAATATCATATATAATTTACAGAAAAAGTAAAATACTGTCAAATTTACCAGGTTGTGATAGAAACATCTAACTCATAAAATCTCTGAAAACCATAAAATGTAACAAAAAAAAGAGTAATATTTATTTTACAGTATACCACAATATCAAAATTTAACCTAAAAAAAAAAGCAAAATGTAAGAAAATTTTGGCCAAAAAACAGAGGAATAACTTTGAAGGCCACTTTATGCACAAGAGGAAATTAAATAGTTTAAGAACTATGGTAAAGAGGAAAAAGGAAGTAAATAATTCTATAATTACTGTTATATCTAATTTGTATGCAATGAAATAATAGTCTAGGGTATAATATAATTTCTGCCGTTTACTTACACTAACTCTTTGGTGTAGTTCAGCTTTTGTTTCCTCATCATCTTGCAAGTCATCAGCAACTGAATTAAAATCTGTTTGCCACTGAGATAYAAACGCCTGCTTATTATCTGGACGTTTCAAATAATCTTGAAAATGTTTTCTGTAAATTACAGTAAAAATAACTTGGGTGMTAAAAGACATATAGAATGCCACAATAATATAAAATACAAAACACTAATATTAATGTAATAAGATACTATTTCTACTCACCTAATATCTGCTGTGTAATGAACTATTCTGTAATGTTCTTCCCTTAGACATCTAAGGGCAGTTTTGATGGTATTCACATATGTATTTTCTACCATTTCCCAGTAAGGTACTAAAAAATCAACCATCCCCTGTGAATTTTTCAAAAAGATCAGAATTAATTGATGTATTTCTTGGTAATTCATTTGCCTGTAGTGTTAGCAAATATATGAAGAAATTATTTCATTAAACCATATTACTGCTTTCACTATGTATTTCTTTTGATTTACAACTGATTAAACACACTGTACCAATATACAGTTTTATCCTACAAATTTCTTTGGAAAAAAGTGGCAGGTCTCTTAAGGAATGGAAAATTCCAGCAGAATACTCCAGTATCTGTTGTTTTAGTTATGCTCATAAAATAAGTGATGATACTGAGTGAAGACTGAAGTATGAAAATTTGGTCATTCATAACAATTTGAGCTGGTAAAAATCTAAGCTCACTGCCCATTACTGCAAAAGTGATGTTTGACTGACTGACTATCATGAAATGTAAAAAAAGCTCATGGCCAGAGGAAACCCAGCATATGTGAGTTGATTGCAATCAAGAAGGAAAAACTGGAATACATTAGGAAGGCAATTATAGAACAAAACTCAAACCGTTCTTGAAAGCCCTGGAAAAATCTGCATCTCAAAAACTGCATGCAGTCCCAGCTTCTCATCTTAAAAAAWTTACAGAAGGACTAGAATACATTATAACTAGATTGGTGCATAAAAGCCACATTAAGCAAAACAAACATTTAAGAGAAGTTTCTCACATCTTAAACACCTTCAGAGGGTTATAACAGACTTATAACTCACTTTATCCCTCGATACATGAATTAGGATCACCATGAACTAGGGTCACCAAATGATCCAAGCAAAGAAATGGTTTAAAGGAAAGAAACAGAAATATTTTTTCAGAATTAACACAATTATATAAGATACACCACAGAGAAAAAAAGTAAATGGCTTCAAAAAAGCAACTAAAGTAACTAAAAAACATAATCATGAKAGAAAAGTCCATTGAGAACTACTAAACAAAGATACAGATACACAGCCATTTCAGAAAATTCCTAAATTTCAGATCACTAGATGTGAGAAGATGTCCCTGGGGAAAACATATTAAGAAAAACAATACACTAGAAGAAAGATTAGTACACACTTCCCCATTCTTACTCTTTATATGAGACCCACAACTTACCTTTGTCCGAGAAAGAAAAGAGATCTAGTACATTTCTGTTAGTATTTCATAATAGTAAAAAGTATTATTATTTTGGCATCTGTATCCTTCATCATAACTACAAAGATTTTTTAAAATATGTAAATTTAAAAGTAATATTCCTTATTTTATGTATTTTAGTAGCAACTTTTCTTTGTATATTTATCACAAAGTACTAGCGTATCTTTTATTGAAAATATTGAAGAAAACAACATGCAATGATGCAAAGGGTTTAGGTAGCACGTGCATAAAATAGTAAGAAAAATATATACTTTGATATTTAAGATTTTCAATAATGAATTAATGAACCTGGGCAAGTGGTTCATCAACATAAATCCATTCATCTGATCCTGGTTCAATCGGTGGTGGTGCCTCAGGAGAGGGAAGAGGCTGATCTGTAACTGGTGAAATCTTTTGTTCTTCACCTGTAACTGATAAACCCTCCTCTTCTTCACCTGGAACTGGTAAAACCTTTTCTTCTTCTGGTGCTATTTCTTCAGCAGCCCCTTGATATGAATGCACAATTAGTACCTTGAAATATATTTTACATATCAATAAACATAATTAGACATCTATGTTACTCTGACAAGTTCAAAATAACGGAACAGATTCCCTATTCCATTACTTAGGTACTGTTAATCGAAAATATACTCGTGAAATCAGGAATGCTCAAGGAAGATTGGGTCAGTTAACACCTAAACAAATTTGACATCCATAAATCCATGAGCCCTGACAGGATGCATTCACAAGTGCCGAGGGAGCTGGCAGGCACCATAGCCAGGCTATGATCATGATGATCTCTGAAAGGTCATGAAGACCAGAGGAGGTGCCTGAGGAAGAAAGCAAATGGCACCCAGTCTTCAAAAGGGGCAAGAAGGAGGACCCTTCAGTCAGTCAGCCTCTCTTCAATCCCTGGAAAGGTGATGGAGCACTTCACTATGGAGACCATCTCTATCCACATGGAAGACAAGAAAGTGATCAGGAGCTGTCAGCATGGATTCCCTAAAGAAAAATCACCAACCTGATGCCCTGTTCTGCTTATATGAACCCAATAGGGAAGGACAGCATGGAAGCTGTTATTTATATTGATAAATATGAAATTAAACATTATCAATTGACCACAGGTATTATTTCTCCTTAGAGATTAAATAGTACTTCTATACAACAGCTGGATTCTAACTAGAAAAACCTCCCMTCCATTTGCAACAGTAGCAATTTTGCTACTTCCTGATTCCAGTAGGGTTACTAATTATATATCAAGTACATTAAAAAAAACCCCTCCATCCATTTTTCTATTGGGTGTGGTATTTCCAAGAATTTTTCATGAACTAGAAACCTTGTACAGAAGTAGTAGGACTAACTTTTACTGTTTAGGGTGCTTTTCAAGATAATTTTTTTTTCTTTTGGTGGTACAAGACACATGCAGATTTTCTCATAATACTTTTGAAAAAAACTCTGGTTATTTGTGGGGCACTATGCTGGTTTACTGGATGTATTTGCTCCCCTGGATGCTTCATCTCTTTTTCTTTTATTATTATTTCAAATGAGTTTTTCCTTGAGCCATAAGGAGGAAAAACAGAATAAAGATACACCAAAATCCCATGTCAAAACCACTTCTACTTATCTGTATTTTTATGCTGTTGCTGCTAAATGAATTTATGGTGATAACGGCAAGCTGGACTTTCTTATACAATTATGCTATCCCAGAGGATGAAAATGCTAGCTGGAATTTTTAAACCAGGAAGAAATGACTGAATTTAATGCTTTAATTTTCATGCGAATGTCTTGGGTTGATTGTGTCAATTCTGTTCTGTATTCCTTTTCCGTYGGCATGTACGCCCAAAAAAGGTGTTTGCACCTTTAAATGTAACGTGGAAGAAGGAGCAGGAGCTGCTGGGAAGGCAGCGCGGRCAGTTTAAAAGCCAGCACTGCCACGCAGGTGGGGCTTTTTCGAGCTCAGCTCTCGCTCTGCTTCTCGCTGTGGGAGTCCTTGCTTGCTGCGTGTAGCGGAGTTACAGTGTTGCAGTTTCGGCTAGCTCGGTTTAATTAGCTTTGGCAGCTCTCCTCAGACAGACCCCCCCCCTGCGTCTCCTGCGATCCTCCTCCTGGAGCAATCCAGCCGGGAGAAAAGCCGCGTGGCTTCATCTCGTCCGGGATTCCGGAAGTGAACCAGGCTGGCAGCAGAAACACACCAAGCCCTCTGATCCGTCCACAGGGAAGAAAGGACGGTAGTACAGGTTTTTGGATTTTCTTTTTGCCACTGTTATGAGAACGGCCACGTGGGTTTTTCTTTTTTTTTTTTTTTTTTTTTCTCCCTGGGACGGGAGGCGCCATCTTGTCTGCGCTGCGTGGCAAATTTTTTGAATATCTAACGGTGGCTCTTTGTCTGTGTCCTGTCATCTAACCGTTACTCTTTATCTGTGTCCCGTGGGCACTGTGTTTTGTTAATAAACTACCTTTTTTTCTCTTCACTTTTTGCCCAGCATCTATTTCTTGTCGGTGGGAAAAAATTATCAAATTTATTTTCATTTCAGAGGAAACGTATCTCTGTAACGTTCTTCTCTGAAAACATTGTCTCAAAACCGAGACAGCGAAATTAGTCCATACACTCTGAAAACATAAAAACACAACAGAAAGTTCAGGGCTCTGGTACAGTTATTACCAGCTGGCACATTCACAATTTTTTTCAGGGGCAGCAAAGCTGTAGGTTACCACAGAGTTTTACATAGTAATTAGTAGTGTTAATTATAATGAAYAAAATCTTTTGTTACTGATTTTTAGAAAGTATGAACATGAAAACTTACTTCTGTTCTCATGCTTTGCAATTTCTTCTATTATAATTTCCTTCACTGTTTCACACACAAGACTTTCTTCTGTTTCTGCATTTACTTTCACTAGAGTGTTCCGATGGACTGAAAACCATTTCTCTAATTTTGGCCATGTCTTCAGAAAGCCTGAAATTCTACAAAATTAATATCAATGTATGAAATTAAAATTTAACCAAAGGAAAATTAAAAATTTTCTAAAATTAATAAATAAAATAAAAAAGCAGACCATCTAATTTAATATTAAAACTACTCCACCCACATCAACCCTTTATTTTAAACATACGAAAATTTTCAAAATTTTTCTGTTAACTAATCATGTATTTCTAGTTCTTTCATGTCACAAGCTAAACTCACTTTCTAATATCACAAACAAACCAATAATAATAAATAATATAACAGTTAATAGTACCAAATGCTCAGAAACAACTGTTGATTTTATACTTTGTGTGAAGTTAAACATCTAGTGATTCAACTAAAATTAGAAAACTAAGTGGTTTTTGTAAATGTAGAGGTGGAAAATAGCATTTTGCAAAATCTCTCACTCAAATCAAGTGTATTTAATTCAAGGGCAGTCACATCATGTGTGACACACCTGAGATATAAGYGTATTCATAGATACACACATATAGATACAAAATGTACACATTTGGCTCATGCAATATATACCTGAAAACTAAATTCTCCTTGGAACAGTACCCTGGAAAATCAAAACACAAGAATTCTTATTTTCCAGCACAATTTATATTGTGCAGAAAATGAAAATACGCTTTAGACTCCACATTATAGAAGAGTCAAAGTAAACTGTTAACATTAAGCATGTCAGTACTCTCCTGGATCCAATATGAGATTCAGATCAGTTACATACCTAAACATCTGGCTGAAGCAACTTTTCTGTGCTTTATTTAACATACCTATGCAGCACCTGCTCCCTGGCTATGTCAATCCTCTCTTCTAGGATTTCAGTATCTGAATTTTGATCGCTGTTCTGTTCAGTTTGAGATGCCCTCCTTTTTTCTACTGTGTGGAAAAGTGCTTATATGAGCATATATTGAAAAAGGCAATTATGCAGACAGTTATTCACTCAAACTAACATAATCATTGTAAGAACAAATTCAGTKCTCCTTAATCTTACATTTCTTCATTTAGAAATTGGGTACCAAACTTCTTAAAAGATAGGGAAAGGCAGAGAACATAATAGAAATTTAAAATTAAGCAGTCAAGGATCTGTGACACCGACTCTTATGACTATGCCGCTTCCTCTGCTCAAGTGCATTGTAGCACTAACATTTCCTAATGGATGCTTTTCGGTTGTAGAAATCTCCAGTTGACGAGAAGGAGATTCCTGTAGGCAGACTATTTCAGGCTTACCTACCCTACCAGTCAGAAGGTATTTTCCCAGTTTCATGCAAAGTATCTATTTTTCACAACGAGCAGATTTTCCACTTCATGAACAGACAAGGTATTATCTCTTTCTGAGTCTTCTCTAAATTTTGAAAAGCCTTTAATTATTAGAAATAAGTGATTTTAAAAGAATTTTGATTTTCTTTCTATCATCCCATTTGCATTTTATGAAATAAATTCTATTTGTGTTTCTGAGATTATATTACATATCACGACATGTTCCAAGCTTTTTTGCAACACAAGGTCTTAAAAYTAGGGAGAGTTTCAAGTGTCTATACATCTATCCTCATCAGATTGTTAGCAAAAGCTTTAAAGATTTTGTCCCATCCTCACTCCTACCTGCGCATAAAAGTAAGTGTAAATGGTGCTTTGACTAAAGCTATTTGCCATCTATGCACTGCAGTGAAAGCAACAAAGAAGAATCTCCTCATAATTTATATAATATACAAGGTGCTCATTAAAAATACTTCCACCAAGATCTCAAAATGTCAGGTTTGGTAGCAAAACAGCCTACAAAAAGCCCTTAATGCCTTTGTCTGGGTTGGACAGAATTGAGTTTGATTTCTGATCATTCACTGACTAACTGAAGAGTAATCAATAGGGAATTTTGGCACTCTCAGGGAATGAATATTGGCACATTGCCCTGTTTAAAATTTTCTTTTTCCCTTTCCAAGTGTGTCTCCTGTAGAAAAATACTAATGATAAACCCTCAACTGTAATGCAGCTTATTCTACGTTACTACTTATATTTTTTTCTAGCTGCTGTTTCATGTGGTACCTAACACCAGTCACTGTGCTATCTCAGCTGCAGTGACAGTTTCAGTACAAATACATAAAAGCATATTCACAGGCACTTGAACACTTCTGATCTGCCTTTGACTGAAACAAACAGAAGTATGTGAAATAATCTGGAAGTATCCAAGGCACAATTAATGAAAGCRATATTGTGAAATATACAGAAATTGTCCGGTAATGCTATTCTGCTTTAATAGCTACAACATACAGGTATCTGCTTACTATTTTATTTTGTTAAAAGTAGTTGGAAACTTACACTTTACATCAGCTGCACGGTTCAGCACCACACTGTCTGAAACATCCAATAATATTGAAACATCAAATGCAGGTGGGATGGGAGGAGGCTCCTTAGGGACTCTGGGATCTACAGCAAGTGACATCTTTTCACAAATTGGATCTTTTGCTTCTAGATCAAAGCCTGTATAGGATTTTTCAAATAGCTTTGCCTGATTAATTGTCATTGGAAACCCTTCCACAATCCACCCCTTCTCTGGTGGTATTCGGCTAAAAGGAAWTGAAGAACCAGAATTACACAGTGAATTGATAGCCTAATAATAAAACCTAAATAACAGCTTGCTCTAGCCATCATTCATTCTTAATTCAGTATATTAGATTTCCTGATGAATATAGAATGTGACAGATAYTATTAAATGGTAAAGTAATGGATTTTAAATCAGAAAAAATAACTCCAAGTGTAAAGTGAAAAAAAAATCAGAAACAAAACTATTTTTCCTGTCTTGATAAATAAAATTTTCAAAACCACTCTACACAGATTGCTCAGAGGTTTCTCAGTTTTYTCAAACAAACTTGCAAGCTAAAGCAATAAATAGGAAAATCTGTAACTTAAAGTATACAAATGGGAGTAATACAACTTATATGAAATTCATGTGGGAATTAAGTGCTAATTGCATATCAGGGTAGCTAAGACAACTTTCTGTCAAACAAGAATAGATAAAACCAAGTATCTATACAATTGCACACCTAATGGCTTCCAGTAGGATGTCAATTAATAATTCATCAGGAATACTTTTTCCTCTCTTCAACCATTCCTGTGATGCAGAACCAAGCTGGGCACGTACGGATAGCTGCGGAAGAGTGCAATGTATGCTCAGAATGTTCATAGCAGTCATTGTTGAAAAGAGTATGACTACGCATTTTATATTACATATTATTTTTTAAATTTATTTATTTATATTGGGGTGGTGGCTTTTATTTATTAATATTTGATAGTTGGGGGTGTCTATTAACGAGAATCGTTTTAACTGTAAAAAATGCCTGGTTCAATTGAAAACTCCAGCTGATTTCCATCATTACACTCATAAAAAAGGTGAAAGAAACATGATAGCAAAACAAAGGATATGAAGGCCAAGAAATAAAATGTTAGGTGTTCTGGTTCTAAGCTTATTCTGATTTTCACTGCCACTGATGATTTCATACAGCTGCATATAAATAAATTAGTTTTACAGGGATTGTTTTATCTTAGCTTTGGAAGTATTTTTCAATGAACAGCAAGTCAAAGAAATCACTGTAGAATTAAGCATTTTTAGCATAAAGAAACATTGTCATGGGATGGATTATCTGCTTGGCAGCAACAAGAACACATTTTTGCTGCCTCAGAGATCTCATAGAAAATACCACATCTTATACTAATGTGAGATTTCACAAGGAATTATAGAACTTTAGCAAGATGTACAACTCTAACCAACACACAGAAGAATAGACTTTCACAACAAGCTCTTTTCATGTTTTGTACAGAAAATACTTTGAGTGAGGTCAGCAATTCAGAATGCTGAGAAGGTGTCTCCATTTAATTAATTTAACCACTTTAACTAATGCCTTTTTATAAAGTAGAAACTGGAATTGGATTACAAACCTCAGACAGGCCATTTTGGCTGTTATCTGATTCAAATTCTTCCTGAGATGGATTCTGAGATGGATCCTCTTCAACAGGACAATTGTCTAAAATAGGTTCTAAAATAAAGTTTGATGACCCTATTACTATTAGATTTATTACTACAGATAAAGAATAGAAGTACACAGCTTGTTACTGTTCTTTGAACAAATCAATACAGAAGGTACATAAAATTGTTATAGGAGCATTGAGTAATTCAGGAAGCAACTTCTTGATGTCACCTTGTTCAAGTACAACCTTCTGCTCAAAGTGGCATCATTTATAATGTCAGACCAGGTTTCTCAGTTGTTTACCCTGTGTAATCTGGAAAACCTCCAAAGGCGGAGACTACACTACCCCTCCAGGAAATTTGTTTCAGTATTTGGTTGTCCTCATGGGGAAACAGTCTTGTCTTTTGTCTAGGCAGAAGGGCAACAAGAAGAGTTTTTACAGATAGCTCCACAGCAAATGAAGTCTGGKGGAAATGCTGGGACATACAAAAGACTGAGGTATCCCAAGACCCTGAGACAACGACGAAAATCTGCAGCACGATTTACCTGTGGTGGTTTCTGTTTGGGTTTCCTCTAGAAGATCTGGTGGTGAATTTGGTAAGTCCTCCTGGACCTTGTATCATTATGACAGGAAATGGATTAGAATGAAAACTACATATTACAGAAAAAACAAGCCTGTCAATTCAAGCTGACTCTTGCAGTCTTACCTGTCAAAACTTAAGTTTGAAATTGAGTAAAAATACTGAAACATGCTTTCTTTGYTATATATTTCATTCCCATCTACTTCTCAGAGCCAAGACCAAAACTAAGAAATATGCTTACCTCATTTTGTTCTTCTGAACCAAATGGAACCTGTTCAATCTCCTGCTCCATTGAAATCTCTGTTTCCTGTGAAATCACGTCGTGTTCACTTTTCATTTCATTGTTAAGAAAAGCTTCAATGGCCTCCTGAACCAGAGTACCAACAGATAGTACCTGAATATTGCAAACTAATACACAAAAATATTAGATAGCTAAAATTTGAGTTGTGTATACAAACAGAGAAACTATTACAGTTAAATTATTTAACTGAGGCTCCTAATGTAAGTTCTTTCTACTCTTTCTTCTCTGTAACCACTTCACAGTGTGTATCAACAATCACATAACTATCTTGCTARTCTGTTCTAAAACAAATATCTCAAAAGAAGTTTACCAAAAGCATTTTCAAATTCCTAAGGAATAAGTATTAAGGTTGCAATACAATATTAATACTACTTTCAACTTCCAGYGTTTTCAATCTAATTTTTGAAGATAACAAATGAATGACATGGAACCAACCCCAGCAAAACACAAGCGCATCTGAGGTTCAGGAATTATTAATGCAAGGACTTGCCCAAGCAATTTTCATTGTAAGAGTGGGATTTTAACACAAATAAAAATGCTAAAGGATTTCAGGCAAACAAACAAACAAACAAACAAAAAGCTTCTACCTTTTTCAATAAACTTTGCACAGGTAGTTTTCCCACTAAACATTTTTCCCAAAATACATCCCTTGACAGGAAATGAAGGGAACTCAGGTGAAGATTTGGGTTTTGGAGGATAGAACATCTCCATCATTCTACGAAGCACATGACCCAGTATGTTATTATTAAGAGGAGGTTTGTTTTCACTGTTCTCTTCAGTTGGACTCCATTTCCCTGTCATACTCTGTATAAAAGACAAATTAGTAAATCACATCTCAGTACGCCTTGTCTTTCATCTTTCTAAATACATGTACTTATACACAAGGACAAAACATAAAATAATGAAATCTGAATAGTACTAAATTTTTAAGACYGAAATCTTGTTAAAAGCTATAATTATGTCAAAATCCTTAAATATTTATTGATATTCACTAATAACTAGTTGAGAGACAAGTACATAAACAAACACTTTCATAGATTTCATGATGGTTTGCCTCTTGATGGATGCCATAGAGAACATATATAAAAAAATGTTCATGACTTAAGGACAAGGAGAGATTACTCACCAGTTACCATCATGGACAAAACTGACTTGATTTGGGGAAATAGGTTGAATTTATTCAGAATAAAAATGAGACCAGGATAGAGACAAATAAAACAAATCCTAAACGTCTTCCCCTCACCCCTCCCTCCTTCCCAGGCTAAACTTTATTCCAAATTCAGTACCACTGCCTGCCCAGCAGAGCAAGGAAATGGGGGTTATGGTCAATTCACCACATTACTAAGCYCTCCTCCTGCTCCAGCATGGGGACCTCCCACAGGAGCCAGTCCATCAATRTATCCAACCTTAGTCCTTCTCACAGGTTACAGTTCATAAACTGTGCCAGCTGGGTCCCTTCCATGGGGTACAGCCCTCCATTAACAGACTGCTCCAGTGCAGGTCTCCTCCACAGGGTGCAATACTCCATGAACAGACTGCTCCAGTGTGGGCTCCTCTCTCCAGGGACCACAGGTCCTGCCAGGAGCCTGSTCCCAAGAGGCCACAGCATTCCTTTTGGTATCCAATTGCTTGGGTGTGGGTCTTCCATGGGCTGCTAGTGGATTTCTGCCACCACCAAGAGCCTCCATGGGCTGCAGGGAAACTCAGCAACAGTGCATGGAGCACGTTCTCCTTGTAATTTTCCACTGACCTCGGTGTCTGCAGTTGTTCCTCTCACACTTCTCACTCCTCTTTCCTCTGACTTGTGCACAAAAACTTTTTTTTTTCTTAAATATATTATCACAGAAGTATCACTGCTGTCACTGGCTGGCTCAGTCTTGGCCAGTGAYGGGTTCATCTTGGCTCAGTTAGACATGTGGGAAGCTTCCAGCAGATTCCCAGAGAAGCCAACCCTGCAGCCCCCCGCAACCAGAACTTTGCTCCATAAACTTAATACATATTCATACAATCATTTCTTTAATTCCATAATCATGAAAAGTAATTTCACCAATACCATAGAATTAATCAGTAGCAGATTTTTGTATTAGAAATCTAGTATCCTAATAATCTGGTCTCTAAAACTGCGCAAAATTATTTCACAGTATCACATTAAATTCTCTGAAAATTTAATGAATAAAGATTTCAAATATATGTATTTACCTAACATACTTTCAATAGAGAGGAAAATATTAAACCAAAGCAAACAACTCAAACCAACTCAAACACGTTTAAAGGAAGGAGATACTGAGTAGCACTAACAGTTCATCTACCCTGAGATCAATAAAAATTTATCAGTTACATGATTTACTAGGTTTTACCAGTAAAAATCATCTCACTGACAGTCACACTGGAAGAAAGATAAGGATGAAAGCATGTAGTCAAAGGAACAGAACACAAAATTGCTCTTCTGCTCTACCCATTTTGCATCTTACAACACTAGGAAAGCCCTGACATCCTGAAGTTTATGCTATGAGAAGMTAAAAGACATTTCAGTATGCAGGATAACACTAGGCCTGTGTTAATATTTATTTGGTTGGARGATATTAAACAGCTGTTTGGAAGATGTGTAGACTAATAATATTTTCAATTAGGTTCTAGCTTGTCACTTCATTTTGAGTGCACAAAACCTTGAAGGCAAAGTGAAAAGTTTCAGCAAGGGAAATCCCAAGTACGAGAAAAATGAGGAAAAAAATGTTCACTGTGATACTGGCAAAGCAGGGGAACAGGCTGCACAGATAATTTGTGTAATCTTTATCCATGGAATACTTAAAAGTTGACCAGACAAGGTTCTATGTAGCCTTACCTAAGTCAGAAGTTGGCCCTGCTTTAAGCAATTGACCTTCACAAACCTTTAAACCCAAACAATTGAGTCATTCTATAAATCAAATATTTCATCACCATCAACAGAAGTAAACAATTCTAAAGTTCTATTGACAGAGAAGGTTTCGAATTTTTGTTCTGGATAGAATATGCAACCTTCTCCTGAATTTACTATCTAAGTCATGTATTGCCATAGCATACATCCTACTAGTAGAACTCAATSAATGCTGACTTTAAACGTGTTTATTACATAGAAAAATACAATATAATCATCAGTCTAAATTACACTAAARTTAAAACTAAACATAATTTATTTTTAATCAGTGAAAACAAATAAAGAAAATATTTTTGAGCTGTGCAATATCCCCTCTCTAATATATCTTAGAAAATATACATCTTCGTGTGTAGTTGAAAAGACATCTTTTCAAAAACCCAAAAACCTTTCAGTAATGGAATAATTTGTCTTTAAACATATAGGTAGAGATGATCAGTTGTTTTAAATTCTATAGACCTCTAGGAAAAATTAATTCCAAATAGAATGGGTTCCCCCACTCTTCTGCTATATTGCCCTTTTAACCAGAAGAGTGCTAGACTGTATCTGTCATGAGGTAAAATTGTTTACCTGTCAGAAATAAGTTCTCAGGCATCCAGTGGGAGTTATATAAATCCTGGTCAGAGCTTTTGGATGAAGCAGGAAATCATGTGGAACCTAATGCTTGTGGTTAGTTTCAGGTTATTCCAGTAATTTATTAAATGATTACCTGCAACCTGCAACATGCAGTTTCAAAAATATTCTATAAATAAAATGTAATATGTAATGTGCAATGGACTGATGCTATTGCATKTTCTTGCATTTTATCACATATATTTGACACTTTTAGCTTCCTAATGGAAGCATGGCATTCTTGAGAGATGCCAAACTGCCTGTCCCAGGCTTTTTTCACAAACATTAGGGAAATAAGCATAAACATTGTCAGGATGACCTGACAACAAACTTTTTTCTAGAAGCAATACTCTGAAAGAATTAGCTGTTCACTTAGGTTTTTAGAAGATGTAGGTATGAATTGGTGCCAACAATTTTACATATCATATACTGCCAGCTTTTAATGAATAATGATTCAGAAAGGCATAAGACTAACGACATCTGGGAATAAATTAATTATTAAATAATTTTAAACACCCTGGCAGGAAAAAAGAGTTTTTAAAYGTGTCAATAAATCTTTGTGACCTTCAGTGATGTCACAGGTAGAGAAGACTACTGAGACTTCATAATATAAACAAAAATATGACTGAAAAACTTACAATTTTCATTAGTACTCTCCACTGCTTCCTGCCTGTCTGTCTTTTATGTCCCCCCTGCCCACTTCGTGTATAGCCCTTTTTTCACCTAAGAAAATGATCTCAAAATCCATATATCAGTTGATATGCTGTGAATCAGGAGCTTAYAGAGATAAATCAGAAAAACATACTTTAAAATTGAAACCACAGTAAATTGAACTGTCAGGCATTCATCACAGAAATTCATAATGAACATCTATACTCAAYGCAAAAGAAAATGCACCAACTGGCTCAGCATGTGGATGAAAAGCTCATCTATATTGCAGTTACAAATTTCCAACAAGACAAAGATTGGATATCTGCCATGATTTTGCCACGTTCTACTCACTAGGTTATTTGTAGAGTTGAAATATGTAGTGGGATTTTTTTTCCAAAAAAAACCATCATTAATATAACTTTGAAAAGATTGTACAATATGTTTTAACAGGGAAGTATTAAWCCTTAATCTTTCAATTTTGAAATTACATTAATGTATGGCAAAGAAGTTTTGAACAGAAGTTTTAACATACCCTGAAAAACATTTACTTGTGCTCTAACAGATGATTAAGAAAAGTGCTAGCCATTTTTAGTAATTTTCAAATCATTACTATCTTAAAATAAATTGATAATGCAAACCAATAAAATTTGTTACAAAGCTTTCACTCAAAATGGCTGAAATTAAGAGTTCAGTTTTTGTAACATTCACAGTATTTCATTTGACTGCTKTTACTGTTTACTTTCTGTTGCGTTTTCAAATCTGCTAATATTATTCACACCTTCAAATTCCTGACTGAAAATTGCAATTAATGTGCTGGTCCTACAACTCAAGAAGTGTAATCAAGGCAATATATGAGAATGGAATTACAACTGCTACTAACATTAAATATAGCCATGTTTCACATAAAATGTCAGTCAATGAAAACATGTGTCAAAATATGGCATTAGAAACCAATAATACAATAAAATGCGAGATCACAACATAAAGTTTATGATTATAAAAAAGCAAGGTGTATTATCTTCCATTATGCCTCATCAGTTTGGTGTACCTTGTATTCACCATAATCTCTTTCATCTAACAGACTCATTTTATTCAGCTCTACAAGTTGTTCTGGGCTAGGTTCGTCTGGTAAAGGTTGAATGGAAGCTTGTTCATATATTGGTTTTCCATTTATAAAACATTCCTTCCAATCCAGTATCAGTTTGAATGGCACACGGCTGCAGAAAAATAGGAAAAATGTATTTTAAACCAAAAATTAAAGGGCTGGATATTTGACAACTGTATCCAAATTTACAAGAATCCCAATCATGAAACAAKCATACACTAAACTAGATGTAGTTTATAATGTATCCTGTAATTATGACAGCTTTTTTAAAGTGTTTATTTAATTTAAAAAAAACTGTAGGCACTAGCAGGCTTCAGTATTTTCACAAATGTGCCATCACACAATATTTGGCTGACAGACCTGTGTAGTTCCAGTTTTGCTAGAGTTACTTTTGCCTGTCCCAAAATATTCTTTCCTCTGTGGTGTAAGCCTCCTCTTGCCAAAAATCTATAGATTTTTGGAAATTAAAACTGGAAGTTAAAATTAATTCAGAATTATATCAATAATTAAACTTTTTCTTTAATTAGTAATTTCACTAAACTGTGTGCTTAGGCTATTTTATCAGTACCTAATTGAGCCTAAATTTATATAATTTCCATAGTATAATCATATGTATTTCACATAGTTACACTTAAAGAACAACAGTATTTTGGGATACTTTTTAATATTGTAACTACAACCCTATTGTCAAATCACTGAATACTAATGAAAAAACCATRGCAATAAAGCCCCACTCTGTGGTTTTTTAAACACTTCTAGAGCACAGGCACCTGAAGATTACTGTCTTTTCAGGACTTTCTCAGAATCCCTGTACAATTAAGGCATGTCAGAAGAGGGAATCACAGCATGCAGGACTCAGAAGAATTCGGGCTCAGTTGCCCCTTTTTGGACACTCCAATTAGATTTATATATCATGGGAAATTCATCCTGTCGGTATTACACCATGGAAGTGGTCATTTAGTGGAGCATTCTAGAATGAGATGAGCACCATTTGGATTTAAACTTTTAACTAAGGAATTTGTTAGTAAGAAAGGAAATCAGCAGTTGCATAAGTTACACTAGATTTTGATCTCCTAAGACTTCAAGTTAGTTGAGTTCTCAAGCAATTCTGCTAAGGCTGTGAACATCAGTTCACCCAGTATCACAAACCAGTCAATCTTCACACAAAACCAATGCCACCATTCTTGCACACAAGCTAATCRCAGCTGTCATGTAAAACATCAGAAAGCTACATAATTTGCTAYAAAGCTTAAACCAGTCTGAATAATACAACCTAAAAGCTACCTAACAGCTGTTATTTTTGTCTAGCAGCCACATACKCACTTGTTCATCCGTTGACGATATTCTCCTATTTTTGTTGACAAATCAATGATTTGGCTTATCATCTCCCAGCATATAGAATAATGCTTTTTATAGCGTGCTTGAGCTCTTTCAGCAGCCATTCTCTCATGATATTCTCTTTCCTTGATTATTTGTTCTTCGTTATCAATTTTTTCCTGTTTTGCAAGAGCCTAGAATTGTTTGTAAGGAGTAAGTTTGAGACTGCAATGAAAATGGACGTGCAGAGGTGCACAGTCCTGAAAATGAAAATTAACTTGTTCATTTAGCTTAAGAAATGAAAACAGCTCAATTCTCACCAGAATGGCATAGCCAGCAGGAAGACTAATGCATAAACATACCTAAAAATTTTTGTTGTTTCTATAAAGTCCCATTTGTTTGCTTTCTAAAACAGAATAAAATAAAGGAGAAATGCATTACTTTTATGAGAAACAGATGAACAACATATTCAGTTCTCGAGGGCAATGAAATTGTAGCTTTTAGTGTAACTACCCATTGAGAACACGTAATTTATCTTACTAGATTCTGATCTTCAAATAATTTCATATTACTGATGTTGTTCAATCTTTGAAAGATTTCTGGTCATGGTAGAAAATTATCATTAATTCCTGCGATGGTGTGCTCCATCACCACCTCCTGTGGTGGTGTCTGAAAGCATACTTAGAGAGGTGATATAATCAATAGCTATAACTGCTGATTACACAGGATTCCAGCTGCGCTGGAGGATTTGGAGCTGCTGATCATTCTTGATATGAGAAAAATAAAATTCCTAAAATTACATTATGGCCTACTATGAGCACAGAACTTGGCAGTCTTCCACAGAATTATAAGTCCTTTTAATCAACTTAAAGCTTCAAAGTAACAATTAGCACTCATAAGTCCAGCATTTGTGAAAGACAGACATTAACAGATAACATCTAAAGAAGAACATGGTTCCCGAAACAGGACCTTACGTTATTGTCTGGTTGCATCTGCAAGACGGAGGTGTTTTCCCACAAAGTTAAAATCAGCATGGAAGAAAAGATCAAAATTAGACTTTAAGTTGCTCAGCTTTGTCCCTTATTACAGGATCWTGGAACAACAGAATGGTTTGGATTGGAAGGGATCTTTAAAGGCCATCTAGTTCAGGCTTCCTGCTATGGGCAGGCACGCCCTTTCACAACATCAGATAGATTAGCTGTTCCTTCTCCCTGAAAAATTCCCCTAAATTTAACACAGTGCAAAATGCACTCACTTCCACAGTTATAGTCATATACTTATTGCAGACAGCTGTAACATTGAACTAAAATAAAATACTTATCACTAAATCATTCTCTCCCTAGAAAAATCCTGAATTTTAGCAGTTGACAACACAAATTTCATTTTGTAACATGAAGGCATTCTAGCACTACTGCAGCAATTCAGAAATCAAACAATCTTTTACCGCTTCTCTGTCAAGAGCTTCCTGGAACTCTTTTTGTCGTCTTTCTTCATATTGTTTTTCCCTGAAAATCCTGTTTTGCTTTAGCACCTCTTTTTCATGCCGAACATGCATGAGTTCAGCAGCAATCCTCCGCTCATGCTGAGACTGTTTCATAAGTCTGTAAATTAGCTGCTCCTCCCGGTAAGCCTTCTAAAAGTCAAAAAAATAATACTACTAAGCACAGTTTATAAACTATTTCCTAGAAAACTAATCAGTGTCTACCATGAGAAATAGGAATGCTGTCATATGACAGAATTTACCTGCTTATGCAGAACATAAATTCAGAATTATTCATATCTATTTATTAGTACAATTTTCACAAACTATGTAAGAATTCAAAATATGTCTTAACTGAGATACTCAGTAAAAATACATCAGGTCAGACTAACTCCATTTTAATGTGGTTATTTCCCACGTGTAAAGAAACTGCCATGTCTTTCAAATAACAGTCTCTTATCTGAAGATATACCCTTTCCTCAAATCATTAATTTAACCCTGTTACTCACCAGTCCTTATTCTCAGACATAATCTACAGGATCCTTTAGGTGTCTATTTTCTACTGATTTGAAATTTTTGCTTCTTTTGGGAGAATTGGGTAATTATCTTCCCTATTCTTCCCTACTCAGCAGACTGGGACTATGAGGAAGAATTCAGAACAGAGCAAAAGACAAGATTTCTAGGTAATAGTTCCAGTGTTCTCACTGGGGCATGAACATAATACACTATGCAGTACTAAAGGAAAATAATTCTGAACCATTGCTTGAGATATGATCTGTGTGCACAGACACTTTGAAGGCTGTGAATTGTTATTTTTCAAAGTACTCTTGAAACATAATAGTATGTTCTCTCTGCTACACTTTTCCAGACTGTTCTCAGTATCTAAACTAATGCTTAATCTAACTTAAAGTTTTGCTTTACTATCACAGTCCAAGACTCCTTTTGAGTCCCAGCAAAAGCATGAGCTTGCCTTACAAGTCTCATTGCCAAATACCAGTGCCACAGCAGAATTCTAAAGGAAATTTCTGATTTGCTGAATATTTGCTTCAGATGCATCAAAATTGTTATGAAATTTATTCAAATTTAAGGACTTGGATTGGGATCTGATTTGAAGATTTCAAATTAACTTTTCTAAAAACAGAGGCACAAGTAAAACCAGTTACCAGTAATTAAAAAAAAACCCAAAACAAAGCACTAATCTGGTTTATTTTTTCATCAATTGTCTGTGACAGAGAAGGCAAAACATATTACAYATATTCACCTATAAGTGAAAAATCCAACTTGATTGCATATGATATAATTTATGAAAAAAAACTCTATAAAGAGGTGTAGATCTGTCCTACACAATGCAACCWGGACAACTGTAATGGAATTCTAATGCAAAGCATGACTATTGCAATTACAGTGTTAAAAGCAAGGACTTTCTAAATAATTCAGATATTTAATGTTGATGTTGGGGAGATGCCAATTTAAAACAAACAAACAAACTTCTTTCCAAATATTTTAATTCCTTTCCCTTCACAGTAAAATAGTGGTGATATGAAATGATTTATATAAAAAAATCTTAACCTTTTCCTTATTTTAGCTGAAATGCGGGCTTTGCACCCCCCTTTCCTAGCACTGAATCTCATGACACTGAATGATAGTCCTAATGACAAAGGTGCACTCATCTCAGGCTTTAATCATAGAGTTCTTCCCTGGATGCTACATTATGTCTCTACAAGGCTTTTCATTAAATCAGGATCTAATTTCAAATGTGTCTTGTTTTGTTCTCTATCTGTAGTATAGTGCTTGCAGGTTATTTTTCTATGGAGGCAATTATCATCATACATTACAACTGAAATGGAAAACAATGAGATCATAACAACTTCATTCTATGTGTCACTTGATATAGTCCAGGTCATAAAATTTTCTAATACTACTGCCTTCTGAAGAGTTAATCTGTCCACTTTCTCTTATGTTCATGAACCCAAGGCAATAACAGGAGATATGGTGCTCTTTACTGCCTCTGTTCAGTCCACTGATTCCTTGGACTTAGTATTTCAATTAAGATTTCAAAGAAGAGAAGTTTCACAATTTACTTCCTATTGCAAGTAAATATCCCTAATTTTTTCATTAGCTGCTACTGCTTAGCCTCAACCATGAATTATTACAGCAGTAATAATCCTTCATCAGTGAAAACTGGATTTTAAAACCCTGATTCACAGGGAATTGAGGGAACAGCCCTAATAGAGTGGTTGGTCATTTGTCATATTCAAACCATCAACTGGTTGGTCCAGTGAGAAATTTGAACACCTTCTCTATAACTGAATTTGCTCTTCATAAAGGAAATTGGAAGATTCTTCTTTAGAACACTTCAGAGCAGCCAAAACAGCTTCTCTTTTTAAAAGGTAGAGAACTGAAACATTCCAAGTGATCAAATTCTTTGGCATGGTCACTGTATCTTAAAAAAGCCAGCAGGAAATTTCTGAGGAACAAGAAAAAGTGAAAAGGCAATTAACTCAAAACTAGACAACAGATAAATAAGGATTCAGAACATGAAACTCCAAACTCATAGTTTCAGAAAGGATCCTCATTGGGTGGGGGAGTGAAGCATTAGTGGCTATCTTTTATATAAAAAGGAATGAACAAAGTACTCAAACCAAAGGCTGGCAAGTTTTGAAACTTCTGAACATACAAGGATACAAACCAAAAACTGTAGTAAAAGCTTTTGATTTAACATTTTACATCAACATCCTCACARAGAGTTTTGAAGTGCCTGGAGAAATCATAAATACCACAAATGGGACATCTTAGTAATACTTTGAAAAATTACTATTAAGAAAGCCTAATAGACACTTTTTTCAGTTTACCTACTTAAGACAACAGTGGCATCCAGTGGCCAAACATTAACGTGTTTATGTTTCGTGAGGTTCATACATCGTTTCTATGTCACGTTCTTCTATTTTTCTATTTCCCTGTTTGATTTCCATACAAGTGAAAAAAATCTGTGCTGTTTTGTGGTCATAAATTTTATGACCAAAGCTTAGAACTTAGTATGCTTAAATCTATTTGATTGACAAGTAATAAGAYAGTAACAGTTTGTTTCCCCTCCCATTTTCATGTTCTCAATCTATTGCTGACAGTAAGTTATGCCTGATAACTTTTTAATTAWGAGAGATAAAATCTGAACAGAGCATTTAAAAGTAACAAGTACAAATCACAGATAATTTGTTGAAATTGTGGAGATAAAGGATCAATTGGAAAGAAGCCATACAATTGTCAAATACTTTCAACACCTGCGTATGAAWATCTGACTGGCATCATGCTGTGCTCCACCTAGAGTACTGTCATGTAACTGTAAACTGTTTTGTCTCCCCCTGGTTTCAGCTCATGGAGTGATTAAAAAAAACAAAACCAAAAAAACAAACAAAAAAAAAAAACACAAAAAAGCAAGACTCTTTTAATAAATTTTTATAAGTATGGATATGAAACATGTTAGAGCACTCTGAAGGGTTGAAATTCCTTTGACTGTAAATGGTCCCATGCTGTATTCAAGGTTTATGTAGTATAGGTAAAAATCAGACCCTAATGCATACAAGCAGCTGCAACTTCAGCCAACAAACCTGGGAAAACGCAATCTTGAACTATTTTGTATAATCATTCAGTTTTTAAAGGAAAGATGTCAGCTTGCTTCCCACTTCCCTGAAGTCAAGTAACATCTAATTCTGAAGTCTCACACAGTTCCAACCAAACAGTTGTTCCTCTGTTAATTTAGAATCAAATTACCACTAAATAGATTTCTCCAACATGGCAAGATTACTGTTTCAGTCAAATGCTCATTTGTCTTTCCTTCTAGTCCCTGCAGTCTGTGATTTCAGTTTTCCCAATATCAAAGCTGATTTTTCTTTCTGGGAAGCTATGAACACTATTGCTAGTTTTCCTTGATTTGGAGTCCCTCTGGAGCCAGTCTSAGCTGCTGTATTCACCAAGTGCTCCAGAGACTAGTAACCAGGGCTTTTGGAACCACTGGTCCACACTGCCAGAACTGCAAGAGTACAGAGCAGTTAAACAGCAAGTTTTGGGACTGCAGTGATTTCAGAAAAATTAATTGCAACGTTTCTTCATGGCCTATGCATACCAACAAGAACATGATGCAAAATCTCTTTGAATGAGAACTCAGAGTATTGGACTCTACCTCTATGCCACTACAGGTGTTTTTCAAGAATATAGGTCTGAGATATACATTGAGAAGCAACTAATTTCTAGATGTTTACTCCAACAAATTAAAACTTTTCTTAACATTTCCAAAAAATCCTCAGACGTTACATGTGAAGGCTTTAAAAAAGAAATATATATATATATATATATATATATATAGGTGTGTGTGTGTATAAAATACAAATACAAATACACACACACATGCACATATATATATGTACAAAATTTCATGCTTTTCAGAGATGCCACACATCTGAAATGCTATTATTATGCAACAGCAGTGGAGATAAGCTCAGTTACCATGGTTCAACACATAAGATCAAACCTAAGGACTCACAGGGAAATAGTAAAATAAAAAATAACCAGTACTCAAAAAAAAAAAAAACAAAAACCCTAGTAAGTTACAAGGCTGTATTTTGAAAGAATCGTTATAAAAGAGAAGATCTGTGAAATCAGGAATCTAAAAGCTGCCTTTTAAAGGAAGACTATATGAAGAAGCGTCTTAAAATCCTTGCGTTTATGGGACAAGACTCAAATGGAATAACCAGCAATATTCATTTTTGGACAATACTGACATTCTCTAGAGACATATTTCTACTCCATGACGCATCAAACACCAAAGCTCTGACCTGCAAATTAAATTTGATTCTTTGTATCATCCAGCACAACCATTTCAGAATTTATTAGTCCAGATCAAAACCTTCATATCACACATTTGTAAATACAAGGTTTATAAACAAGGAGTGCCATGTTTTGTTGTTTTWAAGTATTTTCTGTATCCCATTTTGATACCACGGGATGTTCAACTTTTGGGGGAAGGGGGCAGGGAGTAGAAGGCAGGTCTACAAAGGATTTTTAACAATCTTTGCTCTGCTGCCTTAATTTTATCCTTTGAAGTTTATAAGTATGGTGTATGACATCAGGATGGTGATGAAGAATAGCCAACCTTCCATATTTTCCAAAGAAAGCCMATGGCTGACATGAAAGAACTATTCAGACACAAGCATATATAAGTCCCTTTATCCCCTTCAAATTTTATTCAGCCTTCCAGTAGTCCTTATTTTATATTTGAAAACATATTTTAGATTACTAATTCATACATGGACTATGTACTTCAGGCATATGATTTCCCACCTCTTGAATTTCATGTGCTGCTARCTGATCCACTAGCATTCTTCTTCGTCTCTTTGCTCGTTGCTCTCTTGCGAACTTATCTTCCTCTAAACGTTTTTGAATTTTTCTTATATATTCATCGTCTGAATAAATATTTAACAGCTCAGTTTGTGTCTCTAGTATAGTTTCTAGAGTTGTTTCTTGCAACTTCTGTGTTTGCAATAATTCCTGCATATCACTGATTGGAAAAAGAAAGGATTATGGTTCTTAAGGGTGTGTTCACACAGATTCCTGTATAGTTATGTGCAAGTCTAACAAATGCACAACATCACTCTGTGGGCACAGTGGCTACTTCTTGATTCTCTTGTGCTACAAAATGACTACCATGTCCAGAGGAGGAGTCCAGCACTGACTTGAACCAATTGATCATTAGTTCCCTTGTCAATACAAAACCAAATTCCACACAACAGGAAATTAGGGTGGATCACATATGTCAAAGAAACTTGTGTTACTCCTCAATAAAGCCATACATTCTGRGGAGTTTTGCAGCTATTAACCACAGGTTTACACAGAGAAATATCCACAGGAGCATGCATGAGTGTCACCTCTTCTGAGTAGGGTATACATATCACTACAGGTGACAGAAAGAATATTATCTACAATTATTCACAAATAAATCAACATATGATAAATTTCAGGAGAAAAGTTACTTATTTTCCCCTCTGAAATGTGTTACTTTGTATGTGCATTCACAACATCCCCACCTCACTGAAAGGCTAAGTGACTTTACAGACCCAATGACAAAAACGAACAGAGAAAAGAAGCATTTTGAACCTCGTCTTGCTGTGTATGTGGCAAAAAGTAGCAAAGGAAGCTTGAGCCATTCACATCACAGCTAAAGGTAAGTTAGTTAAAGACATGGCAATTGTGTTGGAGCTGAAAACAGTGCTAATGCAACATTCATTCTAAGGACAATTACAGTTTAAACTAAATGAGACATTACTCTTTCTTCAAGTAGCTATCTACATAGRAGCCACCTAAGGTAGCATCTTGTCTATCCTTAACAATTTAATATCCAAATGTTACCTGTCAGTCACCTGGCTGTGGATGGCAGAGGCACTTCCTGTCATAGACTTCTCAAACTTTTCTATCTCCTTGTATACRTTCTGAAGAAATAACACAAAATTTTATGTTTTCCATCTCTCCACAAAGGAACATAAAGGAGCTTCAACAGAGCAAGTACTAGGGAATTACTTTTATGTCATGTTAGTACAACAGAAATGTTTACACTGAAAACATTTCAAGCAGCAGTTATACCAAGAAAAAAGGTAACATTATTTTCATCTTCTGTCACTTCCTTGTCCTCTTCCCTCTTCCTAGCYACACKTACTTCCACCASCCAGAAAATCCTAAAATTTTTCAGYTGTTCATTCTGCAGGATAATTCTGATTTTGCATAGGGCTCTAGCAGTGTATGAAATTCTCATTATGTGAAGAATTGAAAAAAGATAATCTGGAAAATGGTCTGCTGTAGATTTAGTAGTGTGAATGTATCTGATAGTTACTCAAGACTGTGTTACTATAGCGTAATATCCATTTAAATASATCTGTCACTGTTGCCCAATTGTAAAAACTGGCAATAATTCCAACCCTGATGACAATACAATCCATGAATTTCAATTAAAATCGAAGTACTTTTTGGTACTAGATAATGAAGATTTTTTTTTAATTGCTGCATCACTTGATTTAAGATTATTATCAATTTCAACTCGTCCTATCATTTATAAGCAGTTACATAGTGTCTTACAGAACAGTTCAAACATTGTGGTGCAAAATTACATCCTGCATGAATCAGAAATGAACATTAACGTTTTTATTTCACATATTCTTCTCAATAGACTYGTAGCTACTTTCAGCTGTCAATTAATATCCATCCATATGAAATTTCTCTTACATCAAAATAATTAATTTTAWAAATAAATGCAAAATCACACTCATGCAAATATTCAGCCCAATTTTCAGTGGTCAAATTGATATAATTTTAACAGTTATATGTCAGCAACTTTTGGATGGTGTAAGTACAGTATTTGTAAGTGTAAATGCTCCCAGAAATTATGGGATTTGAATTATTGTAATTAGCAATTAAAAAAATATAATTATAATTACCTGTGCTTCTCTTTTCTTCTTCAATAATCTTTTGGCTTCAATAGATTTTATGGCAGGTCTTGGTGGTTGTTTTTTAATCTCTGTAACAGCTGTTTGATTCCTGGCCATTACTTCATTTTGTCTCTTTTTTTCTACGTAATGCTGATATGAAGCAAATATAATTAAGCCAAAATTATCTTCCAGGAAGAAAGTAGAGGAGATTATTAGGCTCCAGACCTGAGCAGATGAGCAGTGCTTTATAGGCTTTTAAGGACTTCCATTGAATTCTAGTTCTAGTATGGTACTTGTTTCAGGTCTGAATACAGCACAGAAAATAAGAATACCAGTTTCCTGGTACAGAGACTGAGAATACCATTAGGTAACATATTAGGTAAGACTAGCTCGGAGGATCAAGTAACAAACATGTAAATTAGGTTTGTTTAAAGTGCATTAGAGATGCGTGCAGGTAAAGGTGGAACAAATAAGAAATATGGTTTCTATACAAAGAAGTCAAAGATAGTTAAAAATATATCATAGATCAAAAGAGATATCAATTAATTTTCTTTCAAAAATTTATTTTGAGTGTTAGTATATTGTTAGCATTTTCTCTTCTAAATATATGAAGGAACTTATTTTTTTCATTCTTATTCGTGTAGTGGCACTAGAACAGCTAAATAATCACAGCAAGACTCTCCCTGCATTAGCCACATAAAATGCATTATCAAATTAGTAAACAACTTTGGCAACATGGTTCAACACCCTTTGGATAGCTGGCCATTTCCTCTATATAAACTACTAGCTCTGCTTTGGATGAGTGTTCCCATGTCTAAAGAAATTTGTTCCTCTTCTTTTACTTCATCAGAATAACTACACAGTACAAGGTGCTCTGAGGCCATACCCACTATAGATGCCCTTCTTCTGTCATTTCCTGCTTTTGTACAATGCTTCATCTTCACAAAAGAAGAATGACACAAACCTCTTTCCCAAGGACATCTCCAATGCATACAATTTGTGAAATGTACACTTTACCTTCAAATCTATAAATATTTTCCATGCATGACAATATGCAAATACTCTCAACTTAATGAAGTGATTTTTAAATACAAATGTTTTTAAGGTCTCGTAAGAGTACACTGGCTTTATTTCCAGTCACGCCACTTTTCTTCATTCTTTTATAAACATGAGCATGTAGCACGGAATCAGGAAGTCTTCACACTGGTTTTAACTAACTCATTAAGCACATAACCTTCAGAAAGTACTTCTCCGGAAGTTTATAAAAGTAAGTTGTCACTTGCTCAGTGTCTTGTGTTCTTTGCTCTCCTTGGAGGTTCTTAGCACTATGCTGCTCCGCAACATGCACACGAGCACTCTTGTATTTTGTTTCAGAAGGTTCTGAAATTTGCTGTAGTTACATGTCAGTCTGATGTGGCACTAAACTTCTCAAATRCTAAAATTAAACATCAGACAAGATGTCAGAAACAGCAATAAATATATTAAAATAGAGTAATTTTGAGACTGCTGCTTCAAACTGTGTTTTTCTGTGTTAATGTACACAGAAAAACCTCTAAACATGTTCAAACTGAAACTAGCTCCATTGAAAAGGATTTTGAGATATGAACCTGAATGATGCTGAACTTTTTTTAGTTGAGAGAAACTCATTGCTGTGTGCAGCTTCCTGTGGAGGGGAAGTGCAGAGGGAGGTGCTGTGCTCTTGTCCCTGATATCCAGTGAGAAGACATGGTAATAGAATCACAGAATTGTAAAATGCTTTAGGTTGGAAGGGAYCTTAGAGATTCGCCAAGTTCCAAGCCTCCAGCACTGGGCAGGGACATTTKCAACTAGACCAGGTTGTTTAAAGTCCCATCCACCCTTTAASACTTCCAGGGATGGATCATCCACAACTGTCCTGGGCAAATTGTTCCAGTGTCTCACCACTCTCACAGTAAAGAATTTTTTCCTAATATCTAGTCTAAATCTACTTTCTTTCAGCAGGAAGTAACYCCCCCTTTTCGTGATACCCCATGTCCTTGGGAAAAGTCCTTCTCCATCTTCCTTGTAGAATCCCTTCAGTTACTTCAGGTACTGGAAGACTTGAATTAGGTCACTTKGAAGGCTTSTCTTTTCCAGGCTAAACAATCCTAATTCTCTCAGCCTTTCCACTCAGCAGAGGTGTTCCATCCGTCTGATCATCTTGGTGTCCCTCCTCTGTACTCACTCCAGCAGGTCCCTATCCCTCCTGTGCAGGGTCCCCAGGGCTGGATGCTCCAGGTGGGTCTCAGCAGAGCGGAGCAGAGGGGCAGAATCCCCTCCCTCCCCTGCTGCCCACGGTGCTCTGGGTGCAGCCCAGGACACGTTTGGCTCTCTGGGCTGKGAGTGCCATGGCCGGGGCATGTCCAGCCTCTCACCCCCAGCACCCCCRAGTCCTTCTGGGCAGGGCTGCTCTCGGTCTGTTCGTGCCCAGCCTGGGCTGATTCTGGGGGCTGTCCGAAACCAGGGTGCAGCACCTTGGACCTGGTCTTCATAAATTTCATCATCTTCCCATGGGCCCACTTCTTGAGCCTGTCCCCCAGACCTCATCCTGCTGTTCATCCACTCCAGAGTTGTGGACCGAGAGCCTGCCAGTAAAGGCTGAGGCAAAAAAGTTGTTGAGTATCTCCACCTTCTCCCCCTCTGTTGTTACCAGTTTCCCAGCATTGTTTCTCAACCTTCCTTGTCTGCTTAACATACCTGTAGAAGCTCTTCCTGTTATTTTTTTGTCCTTTGCCAGGTTTTGTTCCAGCTTTGCCTTGGCCTTCTTCTCTCCATCCTTACACAACTGTACTCTTACCAGTTCACCTGCTCTGGCTACGGTGTCCTGTGTCTTTGCTTTCTCAGCAGTTCCCTAACTCAGCCATGCCAGTCTCTTTTCTTCCTCGCCTGATTTCTTGCTCCTGGGGATTTGCTAGCTCTTGCTCACTATGGAAGAATTCCTTAAAGATCTGACACCTCTGTTCTCCTACCTTGTCCCTGAGGGCAGCCTCCCAAGTCATCTGACTATCTCCCTGAAAAGCTGGAACTCTGCTTTCCTGAAGTTCAGGAACCTACCTTTACTCCTTACCTGATGTCTCAGAACTAAAACTCCATCAACAAACGGTCACTGCAGCCCAGGCTGCTTCCAACCTTRATGTCCCCAATTATCTTTGAGTTGGTGACCATCAGATCCAATATTGCATCCCCTCTAGCAGGGCTGTCTATTACCTGGCTCAAAAGTTATACTCCATATGAGGAGTCTCCAGGAATGTCTATAGCTCCCTGTGCTATTTTCCCAGCAGATGCTGGAGACGTTGAAGACCCCCAGCAGGACAAGAGCCTGCAAGCATGATGTCTCCTGCAGCTGGAGCAAGAATACTTTGTCARTAGGCTCCCCTTGGTCAGGGGCCTGTTTTAAATACCAGCTGAATGGGTCCCTTTTTTGCTTTGGTCTCTGATTCTTRTCCACAKCCTTTTAATCTGCATGCATCTCRTTCCTCAGAGAYAACTCTTCACACCCAATAYACYTCTTGATAMAGWGGGCAACCCCTCCACCTCACATTCCCYTCCTGTCTCTTCTGAAGAGCCTGTAGCCATCAAAAGTCACACTTGAGTCACAGGAGTTGTCCCATGCTGCASTAGGGAAGGTAAAGAAGCATTTCTCTACTGAAAATCACCATCTTTGTAGATATTCAAAACCCCACTGAACAAAATCCTGACGAATCTGCTCTAGCTAGCTTTGTTTGGGGGGATAAACTGAGTTCCAGAGGCGCTTTTCAACTTCAACTACTACATTATTCAAATGCCATTCTGAATAAAAACAGGACCTACTCTCAGTTGCTTAATTTCTTTAAGCCATCCCTTTACTGGTGATGGGATATTTCAGTTTTCTGGTACTATTTTTGCACTTATTGGTAGACTTCCTGCTTGTAGACTACTTTTCAGGAAGCGTGTCAGAAAAAAGTGAAATTTCTCCCAGTTGAATTTAATTTATGATAGATAATAATTAAATTTTATTTAACTTACCTTCTTCTGCTCATCCTTATACAAAATAATGGCCTGGACATGCTAAGTATTACTACTGAAAACAAGAAGAAAGTCTTTAACAGAACCTACCACATCAATGCTGACTTCCTCTTAGATGTTCGCTTTCCCCCTTTCTTTTACTCTTTGTATTTGTCAGCATATGGTAATTGCAGAATGGAGTGTAGTATAAGTATACGGAGAGACATGCAACAGAATGAACCAAATCACTGAGGCACAAAGCTCCACATAGCTATAAATAGGTTTCTTGGAGAGGAAATTAGTCTTAGTTGATACCTAGACTACAACACAGTCTGCAATCTGTATTCATCAAAGGATTAAAAAGACAGCTGCTGAACAGCTACTAGCCTTTGTTGTTATATTGTTTTAAGTCTGGAGGAAGCCTGAAAACAGAGCAGGTAACAGAGAAAGCTTGAARACAAAGCAGGTAACACAGAACAAAACAAAGAAACACAGAACAYAGAAGATCAATATCCTATTGAGTTYCTGATAAGCTGTGCAAATCTACTATACAAGATACAGCAAAGGACTGTTTCTTTTCTTTATAAGTACTGGTTTTTGAATAGGAGATTTACAAAGTAGAGAGGAGAAGGACACAACTTCTTGAAAGGTACATGTAAATATGCTACCTTTTTTGTATTTATACAAAATAGGCATAGTTACCTCTCGATTTCCACTTGCAACAGACTTAGGCTTTGCAGGTGCTGCAGGTCTCAKTGGTTCCACGGCTACACCAGTGAGCTTTGCCTTTCTGTTTTTTTCTAAAGCAATATACAATTCATATAAAAGATTTGTTGCAGCCCCATGCTGTCCTGTCATGATGTTTTGGGCCACTTTCTTATCAAACTTCACACCAAGGAGGTGAAATGTGGGTTCCAGGCGAGAAAAATTGCTAATTTTTGCATCTGCATTTCTGTATCATTAAAAACAACAACAAATAAAAAAACAAACAAACAAACAAACAAAAAACACAGAACATAAACTTATTTTCAATTCCAACTTGCCGCATTAAGGGTGTTCTGACATTTACCTTGTATCAAGATAGGAGGTGAAAAAAAAACCCAATCACAGAGGACTTTCTCAAATAATGTGATACATACTTTGGCTTAGGTTTTATACTGTTATACAGGTAACTGCACTGATTAATGCATAACATTGTGAAAAGGCAAAGACCTCATTTGTTCATATAAATCCTGATACATGTACCCACAAAGTGTATCTAACAGCAAAAGCTAATCCTCAGTTGATGCTAACAGTACACATCCACCATAAATACAGAGTTTGAATGAAGTTTTTATATAATCTGTATCAATCCCTTGAGTTCTCACCAGTTGAAGCATAAAAAATTACCTATTAACCATTAGAACTTCAACTTATTTTTTCTACAATAAAAAAATGGACATACAGGTTAAAATTGCATTAAAAACAAGGTCTATATTCTAAATGAGCAATTTACATTTGAAACTAAAATAGAGGCTTGTAGGTTAATATTTCTCTTTATATGGAGATTCTCATGAAGAAGCACTCAAGATCAACAGACACACAGGGCAAAACCAAATAACAATAAATTATCTGCTTGTAACAATTATCACATCAAATTTCAGCAAATCCACAACTTCAGTTTGAGTCAGATCATGGTTTCCATACTGCTCTATTGCCTGAGTTCACAGAAGTTCCTTCACATGCACCAACAAGCTTTTGACACCAGCCAAGATCCAGCATAATTCTACAAAGATGCCTAGTTTTAACTGAAGACCTTCTGGTAACACAGTATTTATATTATTTATAGATGAAACTGTGCAGGAGCTCATTATTTTCACAGTAACAGTCTGTGCCTTATTTCTTACACCCTTATACTGAACTGAAGTTTACAACTATTGAGCATTTTTCTGCCATCAATTCAAGGTCAAGATGAGCCCTGTTGCCAGAAATTATCTGACATGCATTGAGAAGCTCTTAACTTTTTATTCTGTGAGGCTGACTTGCTTGCCCATCTCCAATTATTCTTTCTTGTATTCCGTGAAGAGCAACAGTCACAGTCTTCTGGTCCTGGGGATTCCTCCAGTCACCAGAACCTTTCAATGATTTGTGAGAGTGGCCCAGCAACAACATCAGCCAGGTCGCACAGCCTGGGGTGAGTATACGGCCCCACGGACTTGTATATTTCCAATTTATTTAAATGTTCCTCAAACTGTTCCTTCTCCACAGGTGAATCTTTCTTGCAGCAGACTTCTGTGTATCTCTCAGGGACTTGAGGATACCTCAGTCTTTTGCCTGTCTCATGAGGCGTACATTTTCCCCAGCCTTCGTTCTGCTGAGGAGATATCTGTGATAGCCCTTCTTGTTGCTGTTTTGCCATAAGACAAGATCTTTTCTCCATGAGGGCAATCAAGTATATTGAAATAAATCTCCTGGAGAGGTCATGTAGTCCCCATTTTCAGGATTACACAGGATACACAACGGTTGCAGACCTTCCTGTTCGTCTCAGACATTTGGGATTTCTGAGTGTGACTTTTATTCAGTAAACTAAGATAGAGAAGGTATTAAGTATTTCAGCCTCAGCATGGCAGATACTCATTTGAGAATCTGTGAGGGAGCCTGATGAATGGAGCTATACTCTGCCATCTTTTTGATGCAGGAAGACAACTAAGAACAGCCATTACAGAGGCAGGTCCTGCATCTTCCCTACTCTCTCACATAGAGGGCAGCTCCTCTTCAACCTCACCTTCCCAGCCTATCCATCCTGAAGCCTATCAAGCCATGGCAGTCATGGGAGCCATCCCACTGCCTCTCAGTGATTGCAGTGATGACACGGCAACTGGTCACAGGCCTCTGTGAAATTACAGGTCTCTAATTTCTTCTGTTTGATCCCCATGCTGCATGAATTACTATATAGGCACTTCAGAGAGGCAGACAGCTGTGTGATTAAAAAAGTTTATAGACTAATCCAGAAAAGGTGTGAATGCTTCTCTCATATCATGTCTTCTCATCACATCCTTCATTGTTTGCATACATTTTTGGTGGGCAGTCCTCTGCACTGTTCTACTGCTCTTATTCACATCATCTTCTTGCTTGTCAGTCTAGGTCATCATTTCCTCTCTCTTGTTTGAGAGTAATTCCCTCCATCCTTACTCATCCCTAGTTTAAAGCTATCCTCACCACGTCTGCCAGGCTGTTGGCAAACACTTCCTTGTCCCACTTGGTCAGGTGGATCCCATCTCTTTTTAGCAGTCTTCACTCTTGAAATGGGATCCCATGACTGTAAAAAGCAAACCCTGAAGTGGACAGAAGTTGTACAACCACTTTTTGACCTCAAGTGTCACCCCTCATCAAACCCATCCATTAGCAGAAGCAAGGAAAACAAATACTTGGGCCTGAGTGCCTTTTTCTCCAGGTCTCTCTGGCAGTATCCTTGGTGTCCACAGAGAAGACCAGCAGGGATATTAGAGCAAGGGCTGGACAAGTTTCTGCAGCTGTGGACTGAATCCCCAGCAGCAAACCTCCCGGGCCAGCAGGTGAGGTCAGCAGACGGCACCTCTGTCTCCTGCAGGAGAAAGTCTCCCACTGCTATCTCCTACCTGTTCCTCCTGGTGCTCCAGCATGATTTAAACTTCACCAGCTCAAATGTTTTGTCACACGATGCCACCAGCACTCATCTGCTACCACTGCAATGAACCTGTTCTGCACCCGCGGTTCAGTAGGTGGTGCAGACATCTTACTTTTCCTCACAGGAGTCACCAGCTGCCAGTCACCTCCTTTTCCTAACACAACAGTTCTGCCTGCCTCTCCCTCAGCACAACTGTGGGTCCAAGTTCCACAAGTTGTATCTGCAATATCTCAGAGAAGATCCAGTGTAGTTACAATCAAAATTTTCTTGTTGTTACAAGAAAATGTAGTTACAATCATAATTTTCTTGAAGAAGTATGATCAATGTCTCTGGAAACACAAAATCAATTCCYGCATCAAACACAAAAGTTAGCTTTTGAAGTACTGGAAAATGTCTTAAATCTCACTAAGTTCTACATGTTTTACTCACTTGGCATTAGCAAATCCTAATGAGAAAATACATATTTTGTCTACAGTGTAGAGACCTGTTACTTTGTATAAGAGACCTTTTATCCATATGTACTAACCTGCTCTTTGAAAATTGCTCAAAGTCATCCTGAAGACCATATTTGTGTAGAAGTTCTCCTAGAAGGTAGCCAGTAGAAAATTCTTCTGGAAATAATCCTGGAACTAAATTTGGGGTTTTGTTGTTTGTGATAATTTTTTAATAAGATAATTAAAAGAATCCAAATATTAACCTTAATAAAATATATTATTATGTTTATAACAAAACTAAATCCAAACTTTATTAAACAATTCAGAGGAATTTCAGGAGATTGATTTAGCAATAACAGTTTTCAAACTCACAAATAAATAAATATACTTTCTGGGTAGTTATTTTGCAACATCAGCTTTAGATAGTAATATTTAGTTTTCAGTGTTAAAATGCAAACATTGTCATAATTGTCACTGAGATTGTTACAATATTTATAAACTACAATTAGTAAATTTTCCATACAAAATGCAAATGAAAAACAAGCTAGTTGTAATGTGTTCCTCTTCATAAAACCACAGAAACATAGAATATGCTGAGTTGGAAGGGACCCATCAGAATCATTGAGTCCAACTCCAGACCCTGCACAAGACACCCCAAGTCACACCATGTGCCTGACAGCATCCAAACACTTCTTGAATTTTGTCAGGCTGGTGCTGTGACCACTGCCCTGGGGAGCTGTCACCCTATGGTGAAAGAACCTTCTTCCTGACATCCAACCTAAACCTCACGTGACGAAGCTTCAGGCCATTCCCTCTGCTCCTGTCACTGTCACCACAGAAAAGAGATCAGTACCTGCCTCTCTGCTTCCCCTCATAAGAATGTTGAAGACCACAGTGAGCTCTCCCGTCAGTCTCCTCCAGACTCACATGGCTTCCTCTCCAGACCCTTCCCCATCCTCATGGCCCTCCTACAAATGCTCTCTAAAGGCTGAGTGTGTTTCTTACATTGTGGCACCCAAAACTGCCCCAGCACTCGAGGTGAGGTTGCCCCAGCCCAGAGCAGAGTGGGACAATCCCCTCCCTTGTCTGGCTGCCGATGCTGTGCCTGATTACCCCAAGGGTTGTCCCTCCTGGCTGCCAGGGCACTTCTGACTTACGGTCAGCTTGCCACTGACCAGGACGCTTAGGTCCCTTTCCCCAGTGCTTCTTTCCAGCATCTCCTGCTCCAGCCTGTACACACATCCAGGCTTGCCCCACTCCAGGTGTAGAATCTGGCACCTGCTCTTGTTAAACTTCATACAGTCGGTAACTGCCTATCTAATTTTCTAGAGACTCATTCTCCATCCTTGCAGAACAAATGTTCTTCCAACGCCAGCACAACATCTGCCATTCAAAACAAAGTACTACCTTCCAAACATATTAAAATCTTTTTTATTCCCTAGAGTCCTTATTAGCAGGTTAAGTTTGAGCACTTTTTATCTCCTGAGAGTACCTGCCCCTTGAGAAGAACTAACTTCAGCTTGGAAATTTTCAGGCACTAGAATATATTGTCCAGGAGGGTGGAGGAGTCACCATCCCTAGAGGTGTTCAAGAGGTATCTGGATTTGGCGCTTGGTAGCGTGGTTTAGCGGTTCAGGGGTTTTATTGGGGCAGTGTTGGGTGCAGGGAAGGACTGGACGGTCAGAAGGTCTCCTCCAGCCTTGACGGATCTAGGAGTCAGTGGTCACTGCCTGGCACATTAAAATTAAGAACGCACCTGCGGAGGCACGTGGCCGCGAGAAGCGGGCGGGCCCGTCGGGGGAGTGGCCGCGGGGGGACCCTGGGCACGACGGCCCGACCCTCACCTCGCTGCCCCCGCTGACCCCACTGCCCTCGCGGCCGGGCCCTGCCATCCCTGCGCAGCGGGGCCCCACTCACCGAGGTGCCGGGAGAGCTTCACCTCCCCGTTCAGCCACTCGCACAGGAGATGGGACATGGCGTGAGGCGCCGCCGCCGCCCGGTTCCGCGTCCCGTTGCCGCGGCGACCGAGGGCGGCGCCTGCGCGGCGGGGGCGGGGCGCGCGGCGGAGCGGGCGCGCAGGCGCGGCGGGCGGGCGGGCGCGCGGGTGTCCCCGGGCGCGGAGGAAGGTGAGCGCGCGGCGGGGCGGGGCGGCCCCGGGGGAGGCGCTGGGCGGGCGGGGGCTGAGGCGGGGTCGGCGCGGCGGGGCTGGGCCCGGCATAGCCCGGCTTCGCGGGGGAACGGGGWCGGGCGGGGGTCGGCCCGTGCTCTGCCCGTGCTCTGCCCGCTGCCCCCGCGCCTCCAGCGCGGAGCTGCCGTCCCGGGAGCGCTGCCCGTCCCGGCTGTGCGTTCCACGTGTGTTTGTTTGAACAGCCACTTCCCCGTTCCGCCTCGGCACCGGCGCGGTCCGTGTTTGCTCTGAGCTGGTGTGGGTGCTGCAGGACAGAGAGCCAAAGTCTGGGAATCAGGAGGAATTTCTTAGGAGAARGGGTGATCAGACACAGGAATGGGCTGCCCAGGGAGGTGGTGGGGTCACCGTCCCTGGAGGTGTGTAAGGAAMAACTGGMTGTGGCACTCAGTGCCCTGGTGATGTTGGGTCACCCGGGCCACGGTGATGTTGAGTCACAGGTGGCACTCGATCACTTCAACAATCTTTTCTAACCTGATTGATTCTTGTAATTCTGCGAAAAGCAGCCTGGCGGGAGAAAGGAACTTAATCCCGGTTGATTTTCCCAAATCCRTTCTCATAACAGCACACATTATTACTGTGCTGGCGCCGTGTGGAAAGGGGGAGGGAGAGCGCAGGATGCCGAGGGGAGCTCTGGCAGTCCGAAAGGCGCGCTGCACATCCAGAGGGGTGTTTTCCATCAGCTKTTGGTGTGCTCGGGAGCGTCCCTGTGCCAGACAGCTGCTCGTGCGGGAAACGCTTTTGGAGCGAGACAGCCGAGACAACCTTTGCTCAGCTTTTGCGTGCATTAAGTCATCTTTGTTTTAGAATCACAGTGAAACAACCATTCGTGGTTGTAGTGCTCCTGTTTGAAGCATGTGTAATAGAACTGTTGAGCGTAGGGAAGAGAATTACCTTGGAAAATACAATGCCCACTGTGGGTGTATAAATTGGCCTTTTTTCTTTTCCCTGATAAAGATATACTCAAGTTTTCAAGTACTTTTCATCACCATACAGGATTATTTTTCTTACAAAGCCAGGAACAAGATGATCTAGTGGGTAATGACAGACAAACCCTAATTTTCAAAAGTGACAATTATCAACAGCTGACATGAGTTGGAGTGCTACAGATTCTGTTCCTTGAGAACAAATAGAATTCCTCAGATTAAATTGGTGTGCTTTGATAGAGGGTGTGCTTTAAATCAAATTAAATCCTTGAGAATAAGAATAAATGTATAACTAGTTATACATCTGGAAAAGGTTGGTGTAGAATTAGTGGCATKTGAATGAGTGAACTAACAGGAAACTTCAAGACAGAGGAAGTACTTTTAGGACAGTTGCTTAAATTAATATTTATATTCTTTTAAAGAATCAAAGTTTTGCATATATCTGAAATTATAAAAATACTTTAAGGGAAGAAAAAAACCTTGAGTTATTTACATTTTTTTGTTATAATATTTGTAGTGGGTGAATCTACCATCAGAATGTTTATCTGGTATGCCAGGGAGGAAAGAACAAAAGTATTTTAGCTTCATAATGGAATTTTTCCCATGGCTCCTGAAATCGATGTATTTGAATACAGTTAAGTGTTGCTGCAAGTAGTCCTTGCATAACATAAAAGAAGCTTATGTTGACTTAAAATATGCAAATCAGAATTGATTTGTATTAAGTATGGAACTACTTTTCATATTGCCTCTGACTTTAGACAGGTGGTACTTCCTGTGCCTTTAGACCTTTTTTTTAATGGAATGTATTCCTTCAAGTGTATTATCATATTCAGTGGATTTCCAAACACTTGATTTTGTTTAAAACTGACACGAGTTGTTCTGTCAGCTGAGATGACATAATAAAATCTTAATCAGATAAGCTAGAATTATGAGACATGTTGAATTTAATATTCAAATTCAGTAGTGGCTTTCTGTTTCATCTGTTTCAACTCTTAAAAATTGATGCAACTTTCTTTATTCCGAGAAGTGATAGAATAATGTATTAATCAAGTTTTGCTTTATTGTTTCCCTGAATTTAAGAACTTGGAAAGATGTCTGTGTTCTGCAATGTGAAAGCTGAGTCCAGAGAGCATTTAAAGGAAAACAATTGCAGACAACAAATAATGTAAGTGTTTCTCTCATTCTTCTGTTGCTGAAAAGACTGGTATTTTTAAATAATATGGTTGTTTGTTCACTGTGCTCTTAATTTTTTACTTCTTTGCTTGGAATGCCACTGAGAATATCCTGAACATTCCAAATTGATTTTTCACAGTACTCTGTACTTTGGATGATGTAGATTTTAAACAGTAATTTGGGGTTGTGAAATGCATGTGTATTTTTCACCTAAAACTCTATCTTTATTTTTAACTTAATGCATCTTCTTGTGGACTTGCTTTCAAGGAGGGGAGGCTTTTTTACAGGCTGGATTTGTAATAGTCAAAGGAATAGAAGACATCAGACAGCAATCTGTTGAGCAGAAATTGAAGTGTCAGGGATCATCTGTTACATTTCATTCATTTTGCCCACCTGAAAGAAACTGCACCTATGAAGAACGAAAAATCTAAGATGTAACCAAGTCTGCAGCTTTTTTGGACATTAGTTTTGAATAACATGGACATAATAGTTGTATGCATAAAGAACAAAATGGCAAAATCCAGTTTTAAATGAATAAATGAATATGAATAAACTGTTTATTACAAAAGGATAATCAAAATACTTCTAAAGGTTCAAGATAATAAATGGAAGTGGGAGTTAATTAGAAGAAATTACTGCAACTTAATACAACTAAGACAAAGAAAAGTCAAACGAAGGAGAACCTGAATTCTCAAATTAAATTGCATTTAGATTGAAGCTGTGSAGACAGCAATAGCAATAAACTGCTACAGTGTAATTAGAGAAAGTGTGGGTTCAGGAGTTTCCTTTTGTGCACCAAAATTTGCTTGTTCACGCATCAACCAGATGGTTTATAAACATACTTAAGTATAATTTTTTTACTTGTAATGTTATAGTTTATATTGTTTGCTTGTTTTTTCTCTTTCCTGGTTCCAGGAAGTTACAAAGTTACAAAGAGGGCTAAATAGCCTCCTTCTCCTAGGGCGTCTTTTCACTTTTTCCTCCCAAATTTATTATTCATTTTACTTAATGTTGTTTGAAACACAGAATATTCTGAGTTGGAAATTGGATCCAAAAGGGTCATCAAGTCCAGCTCTTAAGCAAATAGCCCATGCTGGGATTGAATCTGCAATCTTGGCATTATTAGCAATATGCTCTAACCACCTGAGCTAATCTCAGGGTATTTATCCACTCTGACATGGTCAGATTATTATGTGCTCTTTGAAACAGCTTTGACTTTATTCATCCTTCACCCATACTCTCCTCTGGTTACCTCTGGGTCTTCATGTCTGTACTGAGGACAGAAAAAGATCAAGCTCTAAACAAAAAAAATCATGATCTTGAGATCTGTGCTTAGTACATATTTCCATAGGTGCTTGCTAGTKGCATTGCTCAGCTCCAAGGCCCCTGCTGGCTCTAAAAGCAGCAGTAAACAGCAGTAGCTTGTCCCGACTTCTAACTTGATTTTCTCTGTTGCCACAAGGTAGCTTCTATTTTGAGTCACACCCTGTGTTGGTCTAGCCCGTCTCCTGTCCCTGACAATGATCAAAAAAAAAAAAAAAATCTGGGGAAAGAAATCAGGGGAAATCATATACTAAGACCTGTTAACATATTCTCTGTTGCCGTACTGGACACTCTCCCTGCCATCACTGAATGTGGTGAAGGACTGTATGCATCAACATAAGCTGGCATAATTAATTTTCCTCCCATGAATACATGCAGACAGCTCTGTATCTCTGTAAATGTTTCATATTGGCGGTGGCCTGTGGTAAGGATTTCCATCACTTAACCATTCCATAACTTAATCCATTAGATTACCCTTCATTATGTGATGAATTGCCTTGTTATGTGTATTTTGAGATTGCATCCTCTGCTTGTTTTACAGCGCTCTAGCTGTTCTGTTATTTTTAAACAAGAACATTAGGCATCTGACTTGCAGGTTGAACTGATGCTTCAAGCGCTGTCTTGCTTCCAATAGCTGTTTAATAGATACGTTTTATATTAACATTTGCTGCCCATCTTCATTTTCTCTCAATCTTGGTTGTGGGATTGTGTCTCTAGAGAATTATGCTTTCTATGGCATATTCTAATCATTATTATCTGCACAAAGAATACTAGGGTGTGAGTCTAATGTACCAGTTCTGAAAAAAAAGTCCTCCACTTCACGGAGTTGCAGAACTAACACCTGGCAGTACTGATGTGGCTGCATGCAACATGTATGCAAGATCTTCATTTACTGTCTAAATAATCTCTTTATATTTTAAATGAGTGTGTTCAAATACTGAAAAGAATATATAATGAAGTCTGAAAAGTAACAGGTGTGCTGTGTGCAGGAAAATATTGTAACTGGGTGTGTTAGTATGTCAGTCCAGGTTGAGTAAATCTCAGTGAATCCTGCAAGATTAAGGCAAGAGAAGTGCAGAGAAGTTCTGACATTATTAAGAGACAGAGCAAAATGTTTCCAGTGTGAGAAACTAGTACGGTTGTATGGCTGACTGTTGTTATGATTCTTCTTTGTACTGGTAACGGAGTAAGGAAGAAGATCATTTAATATTCTTAAGCAAGATAGGTAACTGGATGGTWGTATCTGAGATAATGTGATTCCATTCAGTTCAGTTATAGCAATTGTACATTTAAAYCAAAGACAGAAGGATTTTTCAGCTTTGAGTGAGAATTTGGTATCTCCAGCGTGATGTGCTTGGCAGGAATTACAATTCACTATGGTGGATAGTGGAATGTGATACTGAATAACATTTGAAATATTGTTGCTGTTTGGCTTAATTTATGAAACTATTTAGTTGTAGCTTTGACGTAGACAGTATTTCTTAACCATTTAAAGAGCAAAGGAACACTCTATATATAACACCTCAAAACAGTAAAAACTGAATGTAAACTATTGAAAGAACAAAACTGCCTGAAAGACTAAAAATTCACAATAAACAGAATAAAAGAAGCTAGTAAGATCGTTAAAACCTCTTTGGGTAATGAGAACATACATGTCTTAAGGTCACAGTAAATTGCAGGGAAAATAAAGACTGCAAAGTCAATACAGTTTTAAGCAAGTGTGTGAAAAACAGGAATGAGGAATTTCACTACCCATTTCTGAGCATCTCATCCTTCTTAATGGCGTATTTTTGGGTTTATTACTTCTTTCTTTCCTGTGCGTGATTTTTTTCCTATCAGAAAGTTGGCGCTTTTGGGTTGAGGATTCCATGCTTTCTTAGTGATATAATAGGAATAGTTAGGAAAGGAGTTGGCAAGGGGTAAAAAAGTTGATGATTAGAGAATAGAATTGATCAAAGGTTCATTGAGGAATGTGACTGGTACATGGGTTGCTAACCAATAAGAGGGTTCCATTAGGGATGGAACATAGAAGATCAAGGCAACACAAATTGTCTTTTCTATGRCTTGAACTGAGCCTTGAAACTCTGAGTCACTGTTTCTCTGCCTTAGGAAATCACGTATAAAACATATTRTCAGAAGATGGTTTTAGTCAACCCCAGTAATTACACACATCCACACACACCTGTGTCATAATACAGTTAGAACTAAAATTATGTAAGCATTTTTCTTGTAATAGTACTTTTATGTATGGAATGGTTGTGTACTTGGTGTAGATGAATGAAAGCTCTCTCCACCTGGCTGTTAAAAAAAAAAGGCAGCAGTGAAGTAGTAAATAACGTTCAGATGGTTCATTTTTGTCATGCACGGTTTGTTTTCTGTAAGACACAAATCCAGCTAAAAATCAGAGTTTTCTAGGCAACTACAAATTGTAAGTATATACATTTATGGATGGATTACTTTATATACAGTGGTCTGCAATATTTTGAGTAGTTCTTAGAATACTCTCAAGGCCTCATCAGCTATTATTTTATCTTTATCATTCAATAAATGCTCATTAACTGCGCACCACTTGTCCTACATTCTTTTACTGTGGCTTTTGTCTAGTATTATTGAAGAATGTGTTTAATGTAACTAGAATCCTCTTGGAGGTTACTGAAAGGTAACTGATTTTTCTTTCAGAAATAGTATGGCTATTATATACTAACAATTCTGTTCAGTTATGTTTTTAGAGTATAAAAATAATATTCTGGCTTTGGAGTAGAGAAAGAATGCAAGTAAGCATAATGTAACCAAGTGATCTGGAATTTGGCTAGCATTCTAGGAACGAATGCCAGCACTTAAAAGCCATGGATAGTTCCTTCTCATTATGTTGAATGAGAGCATTGGTCAAGCATGTTCTATATTGGAAGTAATCCTGTAAAACATCAGGTTTTCAAAATGTGCTTTAGTCCACAGTACTTAGCTAATTAGGGTAAAACTGATGATGTAAATAGTTAAAATCAAAGTGATTTTGATGTAGCTAGACAAAGGAGAGACTATGGGCTAACTTGCCCAGTTGTTTCTGTTAACAACAAATTAATGGTACATTGTGGCACAGCAATGCTAGTGCACAGAATATAACTTCTCTTCTACAGTAATGATTTATCTTTCAAGTTGCTCATTTCTCTCCTTTTATGCCTGTGTAATTTTGCTCTCAGACTGATTCCAGTAGATGTTTTCTTTTCTTCTTGATCCAATGGATGTTTTCTTTTCTGCCTGAGCGTAGGAGTTGCTGATAATGACAGGGATAGTATTGTGCTTCTGCTTAATGGCTATGGAAATACAATTTTAACAAAACCTTGAATTATTCATAACCAGTTTCTTATTTGATTACATGTGCTCTGACTAGAAGATTTAAACAGGAATAAACAGTCTGCCTTAAAATAAGCAAAATTCTGTAAGAAAGTTTAATATAAATTGACTGAACAGGCTCTAGTGAAAGAAGCCAAAAAAGGCCAATTGTTTGTGTTTCAAGTTGTGGCATAGATAAGCATTTTTAAGAAATGACAGAAATGTAGTGGCTTGTGTGGTGAAGCAATGACTACCTTATTATTACAGATGGAACACTTCAAATCGAAAAACATTGTAAAAAATTCTATGATTAAAACAGTCTYAAGCCACTGAAGCAGC